TTAAGAGATAGTGCTGATATTACATGTTCCGTTAGAGAATTCCAGTAATTCACTACTCGGTGCGAGGAACGGAACTCCAGACGTAAACGGTTTGATCTCGGTTTTTGAACTTTCTTCGAATGTCCTCTCAAATGATTGGTTCTAGACGGGAGCAAAAGATAAGACATGTTAATACCAAGGTCATCGTTCAGTATACGATAGGCCAATATTAGATCACCCCTTATTCTACGGTAAGATAACGGAAATAAGTTAAGGTGTCTCAGTCTGTCTTCATAAGATAGGCCAGATAGACCTTGTACCATCTTAGTAGCTCGTCGTTGGACTCTTTCTAGCATATCTGCTTCATATTTGAAACAAGGACACGCTGCTTGAATCCCGTATTCTAAATGTGGTCGCACATAAATCGGGTATAGTAATCTAAACATTTCATCATCTAAATACTGGAAAGACCTACGAATTGACCATAATACCCTATAGCCTTTCGCGGCAGCAGCCTTACAGTGACTAGTCGTTTTGAGATCATTGCTTAATATGACTCCTAAATCTTTATAGTTTCTTACATTTGGTAGCACGAATCCACGTAGTGTATAGTCATACGATTCATCAGAGTTATTTAACTGCATCACTACACTCTTATTAGGATTTACTCCTAGTGACCACCTATCTAACCATGCCACCAATGAGCTAAGATCGTCCTGTAATACTATCCTATCCGACATATTATGTATGGGTCTCCAAATCTTTATGTCATCAGCGAAGAGTAGAACGGATGATTTTGCTACAGTTGGCAATTCATTTACATAAAGTAAAAATTGAAGAGGACCCAGGATTGTACCTTGGGGAACCCCACTTTTTACAGGTACCCACGAGGAGAGAGTCCCATTAACCCTTACCCTTTGTCTCCTTTCATGGAGAAAGTTACTTATCCAATCGACGACTGTATAATGGATTCCAAAACGTTTCAGTCTGAATTTAAGACCAGAGTGGGAAACCTTATCAAAGGCTTTACTTAGATCTATGAAAATCACATCCACAGGAGCATTCCGATCCTTTGCCGCAGCCCAATCTTCTCGTGCAATGAGAAGATTTGTCAAGCAAGATAGGCCTTTCCGAAAACCATGTTGTTTCCTGGAGAAAAGATTTTGCCCTTCAACATAGTTTATAACAGCTATCCGAATGATTTTCTCCATCAGTTTTACAACTGCACTAGTTAAGCTAACGGGTCTATAGTTACTAACTAAATCCCTACTCCCAGCCTTATACACCGGACTTATTATGGCGTCTTTCCAGTCTTTAGGCAGTTTGGACTGTCTCAGAGACATGTAGAATAGTATCGCTTTACAGGCATTCCTAATCTTACAATAACTGGATCTGTATTGTTCTAAGCCAGTAGAGATGAACATATCCCAGTGATTATTCCTTTTTCTAAGGAGTTTCCTGACCGTTTTAGTTATCCATGGTGGACTATTATTCGGTCTTCGCGGTACCAGGTATGGTATGAACGGGGACGTAACTAGTCTAAATTTACCTTTAAATACAGACCATGCTTCTTCAACTGATATGCTAGTATCTACTAACCAATTTGTCTTAGCAGCACATTCCTGAATGGCTGATATGTTAGCTTTCCATACATTTGGGCGAGGTGTAACCTGATCGTATAACATGTCCCTAGTTCGAAATGTTAAAGACAAAACAGCGTGGTCGCTGTTCACTAACGGCGGGAGAATATTTAAGTCGACAATATCCTCAGTCTCATGAGTGATTACCAAATCCAGCAGAGAAGAACCCTGGTTAACACCAAAACGTGTGGGTTGGGATACATGCTGTACTAGTGCATGCTCCATTATTGTTATCAGGAACTTACTATCAAAGGAGTTTATAGATCCTTCTGTGGTCATATCAGTCCAACTAATATCAGGTGCGTTAAAGTCTCCTATTATCAAACATCTGGTATTTTCACTCCAAAGATGAATGTGCTCTAAAACAAAGTCATCAGCTAGGCAGATTGGGCTGCGATAGATGACACCAAGCATTAAATGTACTACATCCGATAGCCAACTTACAGCTAATGACTTCACAAGTACCGCTATCATGGGAATCGCTAGTAGAGGAGCGGATATTTATGCTATTAGCTATGTATAACAGGACGCCGCCTCCTTTCCTACATCTATGTCTGTCACTCCTGATGCAGTGGTATCCGGATAATTCTGGAGTAATGTCTAAGTCATCGACTAACCAAGTTTCTGTCACTGCTACTATGAGTGGCTTTAACCTGTCCACTAGTGCTTCTAGTTCATAGAACGTATTTCGTAGACTACGAGCGTTGGCATATAAAACTCCTAAGTAGAACAGCCTATCCACACAGGCCTTAGTAGCATTCGCTTCCAAGACCTGACTATCCGAAAACCCACCAATCGGAGATTTTCCTCGCCGTTTTGCCGACGGGTTTCAAGTTCAGCTAGTGCTTTCTTCCTTTTTATTCTATCTTCGAGAGATATGTCAGGTCTAACTCGGATGTCGGAATTGTCGTGACAACGAGCGCTACTTAACAAGAGATCCCGTTGCTTCTCGGATCCTAGGATTATCTTAAGGAGTCTGCATGGACGGGGTTCAACATTGTCCTCGGTCCTCTTGCCTATTCTTACCAACTTTTTAACCTGAACTCCTTTGGAGTTATCTGGTAAAATACTACGAATGTATTCTCCTAGCTTTTCTAAGTCATGCGCGTGTCTAATTTTCGGATCGGGGTCATTTGACTCCCGCAAATTGCTCACAATAATATTCGATGTTATTAGATTTTTCTTCTCAGTTACGCCAGGATGGGTTTCACTCTTACGATCAGATCATGGTAGTGCAACTTGTGGCTAACAATTTGAGTCCACCATTGAGTTACTAACTACCTGTGTACTGCTTACAGCTTTTTTCTTTTCATTTCGTTTTCTACGTACCGTAGTCCATTTTTCATCCCTAGTAACACTGGGACTATTTGGAACGGTGACTGTTTTATCCAGATCGTCGGTTACCACTAAAGGTGCATGATTAACAATGTCAGTACTAGGTGGTACTACTCCCCCTGTTAATATCAACGGAGATTTCACTTTTGCGTCGTTCAGAGTCGGTTTTTTGAGGCGTTGCGTAACAACACTGACACATTCGTCACTGTCAGTGCCCGTGTTGTCGGCACATATGCCATCATTCTTCTTACAGGTCAAAGCCAATAGGCTCATAGCCTCCTGTATTAGCAATGCCTTGTTGGCACAGCAAAACATGCAAAGCCAATGTGAGTTAGGCTTCGAACATCTTTTATATGCAGTGGGACTTAAACGGGTGCACATTTTGTGGAACCATTTATTGCATTCGTCACACTGCATTCCCTCCTCCACAGGGAACAAGCAGTTTGGTTGTCCACATTTGTGGGTACTACCAACCATTTTAGTATGATCAAGGTGTAACACACAATATGATCACAGTATGAACCACAAGACAACTCTAGCAAGATGTCAAACCTTAACTAAAGTACTTTGATAACGATCAAGAATGCTTCCGAGTGTAATAAATACACAAAAGCCAAAAAAACTCAGTAAAATATCACCTTAACTGGAGTAGATTCAATTAAAGTGTAAATTGTAGTTCTGATACGTAATTTACGATCAAAACAGTTTACTAATTTAACGAGAAACAATACCACTGTCCTTTTTAGATAGCGCGCGTCGATCGAATTTTATTATTTGAGTTGAATCATTTTAACTTAATTCTGGACATTTTTGAATGTTATCTTATTTGAATTCGGCAGTTTTATTTTCCCCGCTTTTATGCTTTTCACTTATTTCCTTTTCTGATTTTTATTTTTCGAATTTGTTATTTCGTGTTTTTCATTTTGGTTTTTCTTCTTCTTTGCAATTTACTTCTTGGCTTGTATTGCTCTGTGACTATTTTCCTATGTTTTTGTGCTGTCCATTTACAATCTCTTTTCCTATATTTCTCCTATGGTGTAATCTCCTATTTTTTCTATTTCATATTAGACTGTTACTGATGGCATTCTGTCAACGGATATTGAGTATTTTAGGTAGATATTTGTTCATTATTATTTGTAGCCTTTTAATGATGGTTGTGGTATTTCTCAAAGTTTTAGCTTTCTACATTTTAATTGTCTTGACGTTCATATTAAATATTATGAATTTGAGATGAGTTGACACTTGTTTCAGTTCCATATGTTCTTTAATTGTAGGAATGCTGTCCTTGTTTTATCAAACTTCTTCTTCTACATATGTGCATCAGATCCACCTTGTTTATCGATGATATTCCTCTGAGATACTTCAAAGATCCCATCTAATCCGCAGTTTCTTTATCAAATGTGAATAGGTTATTGTTCTCCATGTTATATTTGAGTATCTTACCTTTCCTCTATTTACGTCCGTTTTTTTTTTCATTTTATTATTCTTGATTGAATATTATCCAACTTGGTTTTTTTTATATCTTACTTATTATCAGAAAGAATTGAAGTGCAATCTATTTCAATAGTTTAGATCATAAGTCAATTGAATCTAGACCACCATGGAAAATCTGGAAGTACTGGACGGCCATTTCGTCCTATTGCAAAACTCCTTAGCAGTGAGCATCCACAACTTTGCCTCATAAGATTCGAGCAAAGGACAATAGAATGAAATAGCCATCCAATACGTCCAAGTTTTCCATGATGATCTAGCTTCAATTAACTCATGATCTCAACCTTTAAAATTACTATAATATTGAATTGACCTGTTCGGTGGTCTAATGGTTAAGCGCCCGTTTGCTAGACTTATAGGTCTTGAGTTCAAACCTCGCAAGGGGAAGGGTGGGATCGTCGATGCGCACTTTCGAGGAGTGCTATACTAGAACGAAACGGCTGTTCAGTGCTACCAGGTTTTCCTTGATGGTCTAGCTTCAGTTGACTCATGATTCCAACTATTGGAATCACTTATAACGTCCACCATAAAACCCCTTCTGATATAATCTATTTGTTAGAATAATTCATATCAATTTATTTAACATAGAAATCAATAAAGTAACATTAAATCAACGGTCTTAGTAACCATAGCAACATCATTTATTTCTTTTTCATTTATTTCATTTACTTTCCACTATTGCTTCTTTCTAAAAATAAAATCATCAATATGATTATTCAGAAATTGATTGATTCAATATAAGGATAATAATAATAATGATAACAATACAAAGTTGATTGGTCAGTTAGTCAATTAGTTAGTTATAACGTAGGACTAGGCATATATCGGTTGATGTTGTTACACTTTATTCATTAGTACAATAAGATGAACAATGGATTCATAGGAATAGTTACTTCAATGGTAGGAATATATGAAAGAAAGATTGTATATAAGGATATAGTACAAGAAGAAAGGATTAGTTGGTAGAACATAAGATATGAAGCGGTTTTAATCTTATCGTTTAAGGGAAGACAGAGTGTGTATACACTTATGCCATTGTGATCGATTCTAAGCCATGTCACCCAGAGTCACCAAGCATTGGTTACAATAGTCATACGAACCTCAACCAAGTAGTCTACATCTACTAACATGGTTCAGACTAGAAGTTTGTGACTCTAGGAACTGATGTCACGTTTTGATTTGGCCGTCCTTAACTTTCTTCCAGCCATGCAAAAATTGGACACTATGGTTTATGCTACTTATGTTGACTGATATAAGTAGTATATAGTACTGATAAGAAGTAAAAATGCCTGCCAGTAGAAGATTGAATTGAAGAGAACAAGAAGAATTATCAAGCATGTATAGGGTAACTAAAGGAAAATTTGTAAATAATGTATTCCATGTATAGTTTTCATATTTTACGAACGTATTCTGTAATTTCTGTATCAAACATGGGACAAAATCCTCAAGTATTTATAATTTTTAGTACAAATGAAGTCATCATTATGGTCATCGGATAGGTATACAGGGATTTTTTAGCATTTGACCAATAGGGAAGTTACACGTAGAGAATCTGGAATATTCTTCCAAAAAAGATGATTGGATGGAATATCTTTGACTCGTTCTAAGCTTCTTAAAGCTTCCTTGACATCACTCACAATGTCATACAATAAACAAAGCAACGTTGCTTTTTTTCATTTAATTTCAAAGCTGGATAGTTTGATTGTGAAGCTTTCGTCGCTTTTCTAAATGAAGTGAAGTATTACTTGGAGAGGTTGTTAGTTTACATAAATTTAGATAGCTCAGATAAGTATAACAAACACTTATTTATTTAGATTAGATGATGGTTAGAAGTAGTCGACAGGAAACCCTTGACCCAGGTTTCGTGCTACTTGACACTCGTCAGCAAGGTGTACCTGTAATATTGGGGGAACTGGTTCTCCCATGTCACCCAGCTTCACAGTCAGAGACTTGACACATGACAATGATCACCACCCAGTGATCAATCAATTGTGACTTATTTATTTATATATCAGATATTGCCTTGAATTTAAAGCAAGCCAAGTGTCATTTATTGGATCAAGATATGGAACTTTTCTATTCCAGTTTTTTTCTTGGACAAAACAGTGGCCAATAATTGTTTCATACACTATTTATTCCTTTAGAATACTGGAGCTCATGTGCACCATTAGTTTGAAATTAGGGTTTTCCAACTCCTCTAAGTGGATCTTCAATATCCACCAGCCCGATTAAAGCGCTGAAAATTCACTTTTCGTCCTCTCAATTTCAGAAATAACAGTAATGCCGCAAGAAAGCACTGAGTAGGACTCCTCTGACAGTGGCTGTGTATCTGTGGTCATGTAAGAGCATTTTGAGAGGGTGAACTGACTCCTCCCATCCTCGGCCTTCGGGGCAAATAATATGGTTTTCACAATCACTGATAATCTTATACCTTAAAATATCCGTTTTTTAGTACCGATTAATGCCACAAAAACAGCCTACTGTGGATGAGAACAAACCAACTTCCAACTGAAGAGGAAATTAGGAAACGATGTTAGATGTGGATAGGATACATATTACTAAAATCATCAAACTGAATCACGAGGTAAGCGCTATCTAGGAATTGTGAAGGGAAACGAAAGATGCGAAGACCAAAGAACATATTGAGTCGAGAATTGGAAACAGACATCCAAAGGATGAACGGCAACTGGAATCAATTGTAAATGATTATTCAAAACAAAGCTGGATGGAGAATGCTGGTAGGTGGCATATGTTCCTCTACGAGTAGTAACAAGCGTAATTATATAAGTAAATATAGATTGTTGATTTCATGCGATTTCATCCGCTTAATTGTTTGAAGGATATATTACGCACTTCTGACCATCATATATATCCAAATATACATTATTTGTTTGTATAAGAGTAGGTAATTCAAGTGTTTGAAAGTAGCTAAGTAAAAACATAGACAGTAGTTCAACTTATTTTCATCTATCCAATGTGTCAATACGAAATACAGTAGATTGAGCTGTTACATAATATTCTTAGATTATCTATTGTCTACAGTTAAACATTGAACATAAGTGACTAATAGGTCCTAGGTTCGAGTCTCGCGAGGCGGAATCATGGATGTACACTGCTGAAGAGTCTTACAATAGGACAAAGTGGCCGTCCAGTACTTCCAAGTTTTCCATAATGGTCTAGCTTCAATATTCACAAAATCATCCCTTTTGATTTAAATATAACTGAATTATTCTATTAATAATAACATTTGAGATCTATCATTAATAATATCAATGGGTAAAACTATAATTTATGAACGAACTTTTAATCAACACTAGACTGACCTTGAGAGTGTCCACCTAATAACTAGGACCAAGCAAGAGTTATAAACCTATGTGAGGAACTAGAATAATGATTTACAATTGATGATTAGATTAAGTGGTTAGATTTAGAGTTTTCATTACGAACTGACATCAGCGAGTATGCCAAAAGCACGCCAAAATCCAAGATCTGTTATGATCTTATATCGGATTGATTCATTCATAAATTATAGTCTCATCTATCAATGAATAAACTGATTAATACATACCAGATGATAATTTGGTTTTCGATACTTGATCAGTAGAATTTCTAGATGATCTTGATGTAGATGAATCAGGTAATTGTGTTTGTTGTAATAAATCAATTGATGTAGTACTAATTGGTCTGAAAATAAAATTCAAAACATTTAGTTACATTTCAATTGTTGGGATTATGAGTCAATCAAAGCTAGACCACCATCGAAAACCTGGAAGCACTTGCCAACCGTTTCGTCTTAGCATGAGACTCCTCAGCAATGCACATCCACGATCCTGACCCCCGCGAGGTTCAAACCGAGCAACTATCAGTCTTGCGTGCGAGCGCTTGACCATTAGACCATTGAGCCGGCCGGCATCCGACGGTGTTAATGTCTAACTTAAACTAATCCACGAAATTGCACAACCGTACACCATTGTCTTCAGTGAGCTGATATCTCACAAAAGACCTCATAGAACTCCACTAGTCACGGCTTCTCACTAGAACTCCAGGAAATGCCTCTTGAAACCAGTCGAATCTCGCGGAGGGGGATTGTGGATGCGTACTGCTGAGGAGTCTCATAGTAGGACGAAACGGCCGTCCAGTGCTTCCAGGTTTTTCATGGTGATCTAGCTTCAATTGACTCATGATCTCAACTATTGAATGTTCTAAAATCTCCACAAAACTCCTTCTGATTTAATTATATATTACTTATCATTCATTGAAACAATAAGATTGTGATGTATGCCAATGATGTTCACAGATATAAGTAGTATGTATCGTCACACGAAAGTGAAACACCTGGTTGTAGAAGGTTAAGAAGATTGAAGAAAAGTGAACGAGAACAAAGAATCATTAGTGTGAAAATGAAGGAGCAACGAAGTTTAAAACAATTGATTGAGATTATTTGTCAGAAGGGGGTTTTGTGAATATCGTAGTAATTTTACAGTTGAATTCATGAGTCAATTAAAACTAGACCATTATGGAACATTGAACGGTCATTTCGTCATAGTATGGGACTCCTCAGTAGTGAGCATCTACCGTGACCATTGGAGTTCAACCGTGTCTGTTATAAGATACAATGGTAGACGGTGGAGTAATTTTGTGGATTGGTTGAAGTCATACAATAACACGGTTTGATACCAACTTAGTGGTCTAGAGTTTAAGCATTTGCGCGCAGGACCAAAGGTTTTGGGTTTGAATCTTACGTACGGGATTATGGAAACACATTGCTGAGAAGTCCTATAGTACGATCAAACGGCCATCTAGTGTTTCCAGAATTTACACAAGTAGTATATATAATATTGCATCACATTAAACAAACTATAACTGATTATTGTGCATTCGTTTCCTGTGTATAGTGATAACAACAATAACGACAACAACAACAGCGACAACAAAAATGGCGACAACAACAACTACAACAGTACATGGTTTTACCTCAATAGTTTTCTTGATTGTATAGCGGTAAATCGTCTTAAGACCCAAATAAAGAGTAAAAATACGATTGGAAATATAATTTAACCATCTATGATCTATTTATGTGTATACAATAACAACATTGGAATGACTAAAATTTATGGATAAACCAATCAGATTTAAGATAACAGATCTTGGATTTTGGCGCGATATTCATTCATTTTATTTGGTTAAATATCGGTTTTTTTTTAAAGATTTTAGCTGATGACAGTTTGTGATGAAAGTTTCAAAACTAATTCTTAACTTCTAAGCATCAACTGTCCCCAAATATTCAGGTACGATAGATGGTAGGGAGAGTTAGCTTTTCTTCACCAAATGCAATCACACGGCTAAGCGTATATAAATACTGCTAGAAAACTCCTACTCACTCCCTTTCGTAGCATTACTATTGTTTACGAAATTGAAAGGACGAAAGCGAATACCTAGTGCTTTAATCCGGTTGGTTGACACAGAGAGTCTGCCCAGGGGATTAGAAAAACCATTGAGTGCTGTTAGTGGTATGAGGGCGATTACCACTTCTCGGTTGCCCACACCGTGGAAGGGTTCTTCTGGAGGTAACTGAAAAAAAATTTGGTTAGGGGTGGTCTTATTGACCTGAGAGCGTGATCTCAGTGTTCAAAGGACAACTGACTGAGGTCGGCCACACACGACCTTTTGTGAGTAATTTTCATGTTAGCTCCCTAATTGTTGAAACGTTACCGCCGGAGACGGATATCCGAGGCATAGTGTGAGATGTATATTTTAGGGTCAATCGTGGTGGGAAGATAGCATCACTGTTATGTTGGTTGTATAAAGGAAACACCTTACTGCTGTCACACCTCTGTAGAATCAGCAGTATGACTTCGCCCTTGGACCTAGGGTTTGCTGCCTTTAATCTTACCGCTTTTCAACCGACCTGTCTGACATGGTAGGACCTTGAGGAACGATTGTTCATTATAATAGGCAAGCCCGACCACCACATCAAGGTAGTAACAACGATGTGGCAACTTCAAATGATAAATATATGTTCTTAATCCTACATTGTAGCTGACTAACTGACCGATGAAACTTTCAAATATCTCTTCTAAAATATAAACTTATATAGACTGATTATCATCAAATGTTAAATTGATTAACTCACATATCATTTGATGAGTTTCTTTTACTTGTTCTTGATGAAATCTGTACATTGTCACATTTATCATTACCACCACAACCACCACCATCACCATCATCATTATCGTCATCATCACAAATTGACTCACTTCGTGGTGAACATAGTTTCGATGAACACTTTGTACTACTATCCGGAGATGTTGGATTAGAACCTATTGGTGTAGGTGTTGTTCTACTACTACTTATTAATGATTTTGTTGATGAACTTAAGTTACTAATACGTCGTTGTTGTATTCCACTAATAGCTAAATTGTTTACAGGTATACCAGATGTAGATAACATTACTCGTGCTTGTTCATAAATTGTTAAATCACCTTTAATACGATTTAATAATTCATTAGTTGTATGAGTAACTAATTCTTTAGTTAATCGAGCCTGTAAAAGAAAGAAAAAATACAGTAGTTGTTCACTTGGATTGGATAAAATAGGTTTGAACAATGACTATTGTTATAACTGAATAGATATTGTAAATGTCTTCGAAACATTGTTTGTATATTCTGGAATCATTGAGTAACACAGTTGTTAGCAAACGGGTATTAGGTAAGGATGGCAAATCAACTGATAAAGTAGTAAGACTTCATCAGCTGAGATAGATGGGACACGTGTTACGTATACTCAACCACCGACTACCTCTATGTACGATGTTCAATGGTATAGGAGTAGGTTGGAAGAAAGCTAGGGGAGGCCAGACCAAAACATGGCACAAGTCCATGAAGTCGCTGACAAGTGGACTGCGTCATGTTAGTAAGTGTAGACCACCTGGTTGGGGACCGCGAGATGATAGCGACCGATGGTTAGAGACCTTGAATGACATTGCAATGACGCAAGTGTATCCATTCTTTGTGTTCTCACAAATTCTAACCTTCTGAGTTCTTCATGTCACCTATTTTTTCTCTTTCCAAATTTATTTCACTAGATTATACTCTTTGAATAACATCTTTGAGCCCTATTGTTTCCAATTAATGCTCATCCTTTTCTTCTTCTACCACGATGGGGTTTGAATCGACAATTGTATCTGTGTGCTGATGTGATATGGCAACTCGAACTGATGTACGTATATACGAAGTTCTACGTCGTTAATAACTGACTGGCTGATATTGTAAATGTTACTACTGGTTTTAGAATCATTATTAATTATGATTCAATAACATAATCACTAAGCAACTGGATCAATTTGTCGATGTATTTTGTCTATCGTAAGATTTTGATTAATTTATTTATCACTATCATGTGACTTAGTGTTTCTAATATGTTGTCAATTCATTATTTAGAGCCTATCCCGTTCACATTCACTTTTGGCTCGTTTATGTGTAATTTGTATTTTTTATTTTAGGATGTGATGAAATTCGATATTTCTGTATATAAATCATGTTTGTTTAAAATATAATAATAAATAGAAATCTCCTGCTGATCTTCTGAACTCAAGGCAAGGGACAGAGGGAGGCTTGTGAATAATGAACAGATAAGAACGTAGCTGGATTGATTTAAGGTAAACAGTGCTGCTGGTCAAGTATATGATTCGTCAATTCAGAGCCACTAGATTATAGTAGAAGCATTGGATTAAGTTTAATTTAGTTGGTGACTTTAACATGTGATATTAGTCAGTGTTAACAACATACAATTATCCTATACAGACTTCTATACGATGACATGTCTGAAGTGTTATTGGAGTTTAGTATATTTTTTAAGTTCAATTTTGAACTACTGACAAGTTACAAGTAGCACGTTACAGCAATGCTGAAAAATTCGACTGGTCAGAAACCACGTGTCGATATAATCTCAATTAGATTTTATAATTTCTTCTATTCAGTCAGTTAATCATAAGCAATATAAATCAGTTCTATCCCATTTTTGTTCATTCTTATCATGTCTGTCTCCATTTCTCGGCGTAATGTGTGACGCAGTTGGATGCTTTCCTCATTATGTGTCCTATCAACTTTCAGCGCTTCTTCCTGATTTCTTCCTCCGCTGGGATCTGGTTTGTTCTCGCCCATAGTAGGTTACTGCTGTTAGTGGCTGACCAATGGATCCCAAGTATTTTGCGTAGACAATTGTTAATAAACACTGGATGACGGTTTTCGTAGTTCTTCAAGTTTCCGCACCATACGGTATAACTGTCTTGACATTTGTATTGAGAATTCTAACTTTGGTGTTGGTTGAAAGACAGTTGTTTTGAGTTCCAAATGCTCTTCAATTGTAGATGTGCTGTTCTTGCTTTGCCGAACCTCGTCCTCACATCTGCATCAGATCCCCCATGTTCATCAATGATGCTGCCCAAATATGTAAATGTTTTTACATCTTCCAAATCTTCTCCGTCAATTGTGATTGGATTGGTGCATGATGTGTTGTATCGGAGAACCTTGCTTTTCCCTTTGTTTATGTTGAAACCTACTATTGCTGAGGCTGCTGCTATACTTGTTGTCTTCTTCTGAATTTGTTTTAGCGTATGCGATAGAAGATCCAAATCATCTACAAAGTCTAAATCGTCCAGCTGCTTCAAACTTAGTAGATTATTATTCATAAAGTATAAAAGGTATAAATATATATACTTACTTCAATATCTGGTCCTATATTTTCTTGATCATCTTTTTTAACAAGACGTTTAGCTTTTTCCATTCTTTCATATGCTCGTTTTAAACGTGTATTTTGTTTTTCAATTTCATTCATTCTATGTTCTACTTCTATTTCTAAACGTTTTGTTTGATCTTTATATAATTCTATATCATTATCTAAACGAATTGATGATTCTTGCATTGTCTAAAATGAAGTAACAAATGGATTGTAATATGATCATAAAGATAACTAAGCTTAAAGGTAGATTAAGAACATCGGGATAACCATTGAAGATCAAGATCTACTAGACAGTTAGAACAAAGCTTATAATATGATCCGAAAGAATAACTAACCTTAAAAGTGGAAATAATCTTTATGATAGGTTAAGAATACATGAAAAACCATTGAAGATCAAGATCCACCAGACAGGTGGAACAAAGCTTATCATATCATACTGAAAATTAGATCATCATTCACTTTATGATGATATCACTGTAGCTATAAAAGTTAGAAGGTAAATCAGTTCATTATAGATAGTCTTGTGTTATACCTACGTAAGTTGATCAAAATGTTTTGAATACTTTCATAATAATTTTAAGATTTGATGATGACAGTTTTAAGAAAGTAATGATAGCCCCCATATGCCCTGGTATTACCGATAGTTGGAAGAGTCAGCTCTCCTTCATGAAATGCTCTTACATGGCCATACGTATACAACAACTGTCAGAGAAGTCCTACTCACTACCTTCTCGCAGTATTACTATTGTTTACAAAATTGAGAGGACAAAAAGTGGATGTTCGGTGTTTTAGCCGTGTTAATCGGTCCACCTAAGAGAGTTGAAAAACCCTGATTCCAAACTAATAGTGCACATAGACTTCACGATCCTGAAGGACCAAAAGGTGTATGAATCCATTGTTAGTCACTGGTTATCATTGGACTGCATCATCCAAAGTTGCTCCACTTCCTTATGGATCAGACCTTTAGATCAAGGGTTCAGGAAGTGGCACCCAAAGAAAACCACCTACTTCGGTCTATGAATATGAATGTGAATATTAAACGCTCAAACACTAATATCCTAATGACAAGCTTGGCAGTTTCTTGATGCGATCTATCATGGATCACAGGGAGAGGTGATGATGATGATGATGATGATGATGATGATGATGATGATGATGATGATGATGATGACAACTTCTAGGCTTTTTCCCTAGCGAATATATGAGGATATGGATTTAAGATTATCTATATAAGAAACCTTGCTTACATTATATAAATCTTGTAGTTCTTTTAAACGTGACTGATCATAACGTGATTTAATATTCAATACACGTATTTGTTCATTTAATTCTGTTTGTTGTTTTATTTCTTCTGCATCATTCGGTAATTGTGATAAACTCATACGATAAACTGTATTACAACCATTCATTAAGGCTAATGTATTTTCAAGTGCTACAATCTCTTGTTCTAATATACGTATCTCATTATCTAATGTATCACCTTTACGTTGTAATAATTCTTTATCTTGAGCAGCCTATATAAAGAAAATACAAAAAGAAAAGTAAATAAATAGACATATCTAACTTCCTTAGTACAAAAGAAAGATGTATAGTATGTAAAGTGAAAAAGAATCTTACAATGAAATTGTTAATTTGATTGTATTCTTTAAACTATAAACTATGGGATGTGATTCATCCCCTTGAAATACAAAATGTTACTTCAGGATTGGGTTGCATCGACAACCGAAGTAATGATAGCGAGTGAAGAAGTTGAGCGTGTCGACCGCTTCACTTATCTTAGAAGTCTCATCAGTCCTTGTAGTCTGGTGTGTGATGAAATCTCAGCACGGATACACAAGGCTCGACTACCTCTTGCTAACGTGCGTCATTTATGGCGTAGGCGAGATATCCGTCTATCAACCAAAGGACGGGTTTACTGAGCAGCAGTTCGTTCCGTCCTACTTTATGGCAGTGAAACATGGCTGGCAAGAGTAGAGGATATTCGTAGGTTACTGGTGTTTGATCATAGGTACCTTCGAAATATTGCTCGTATATGCTGGGACCATCGAATAAGTAATGCAGTTGTTAGGAAACGGGTACTAGGTGAGGTCGGCATATCGATTGATGAGATGGCTGGGACACGTGTTACGTATACACAGCCACCGACTGCCCCGATGTGCGATGCTTTGTGGGGTAGGAGTAGGTTGGAAGAGAGGAAGTGGCTGCCAGACCAAAACATGGCACAAGTCCATGAAGTCACTGACAAGTGATCTGAGTCATGTTGGTAGGTGTAGACTACCTGGTTGAGGACCGCGAGATGATAGCAACCGATGGTTGGAGACCCTGAATGACATGGCTCAAAATCGTTTGCAATGGCGCAAGTGTATCCATTATTTGTGTTCACACAAATTCTAATCTTCTGAATTCTTCATGTCCCTTTCTTTTTTTCTCTTTCCCAACTCGAACTGATGTACGTACTTACGAAGTTCTACGTTGTTACTGACTGACTTAATTGAAGATCATATTCCTATGTATACTAAATATCAAGATCCGAACATGATGAAGAGTGGAAATAAGTCAGATCTAGGTTAAACAAAAGTATACAGAATGATCATGAGCAGCATTTAGTAACGATAGCGAAAGAGATGGAAAAGGCGGCAGCTGTAGGTAACACCAGACAACTGGAATTAAGAAGTCAAGTGGGACGATCTCAGAAAAACACGTTACTTTTATCCACTCTCAGTTCAGACGTTTGGAACGATGGGCGGGATGGTTAAAGAAGCAATTCAGCTGACATTCAGTTACTTTACAACTACCCACCATTTCCAAACAGCCTAGGTGGAACGTTGAAATAGGTCCTCCGACTGTAATTGACTTTTGAAAAGCCATAGCTAATCTGAAACGAGAAAGAGCAGCTGGTCCAGATGGATTGACTACAGAGGTCTTTAAGGATGGTGGTCGATGTTTAGCGATTAGGTCGACTGATATTTTACCTAAAATCTGGGAGTTGGAAGTAATTCCATCTGACTGGTCACAATAACTAATTGTCCCATTATATAAGAAAGGGTCAAAATCACCCTGTGATAACCATAGAGGAATTAGTTTTACTAACATAGCATCTAAAATACTAGCCTCAATAATTATCGGGCGCCTAACTAGGACTCGTGAACTGCAAACACGAGAAAATCAGGCTGACTTCAGAACTGATCATGGTTGCATCGACCACATATTCACCATTCGTCAGGTTCTAGAACACAGGTATGCTTATCGGAGCCCAACAACGGTGGCCTTTCTTGACGTAAAAGCAGCTTTCGACTCTGTACGCTGAGAGGTTCTTTGTCAGTATATGTCGTCGAAAGGTGTACCTCTGAAGTACATAAACCTTGTGAAGGCTCTTCACTCAAATACTACTAGTCGAGTTAGGGCTTATGGCGAACTGTCATCTGGTTTTGCAACCTCAAACGGCTGGAATCTTGAAGGGAAGCGGAAAAGAGGACGGCCAAAGAACACATTACGTCGGGAAATAGAAGCCGACATGAAAAGGATGAATATCAACTAGAAAGAGCTAGAAAGGATTGCCCAAAACAGGATTAGATAGAGAATGCTGGTGAGCGGTCTATGCTCCTTCACGAGGAGTAACAGGCGTAAGTAAGCAAGTACTAGTATTCAGTCTATACATAATTATATTCAAGTCGAATATCAAACCAATCACAGTTCATAATGATGACAATAATTTCAAGACAATAGATGAGATTTTCGACTTTAATCAGAATGAAACATAATAAAACTTATCAACTTACTTTTATTATGTAATATGTTTGATTTCTTGTTTCTTCACCTTCTGGTGGTGCCATTAATGCTGTGATTATTTCATAACTGTATTTAAGAATTTTATAATGAGTAAAGAAAAATCAAAATGATTTCAATAATTGAAATCATGAATCAATTGAAGCTAGATTAATATGGAAAACCTGAAAGCTCTGGACGGCCATTTCGTTCTAGTATTGGACTCCATGATCCCGCCCCCCCCCACGAGATTCGGGCCCAGTGCTTCCAGGTATTCGATGGTGGTCTAGCTTCAATCGACTCATGATTTCAACTATTGAACTAACTAAAATCTCCACAAAATCCATTCTGATAATCAAAATTATGTCTGTTTAAGATAATAATAATATAGAAAATGTATTCGTTATAACCTGAGACTTATAAGCAGAGAGATCTATTCAGAATTCTTGACTATATTCTTTTAAACGTACACTTATTGTGATAAGCTCTGCTATTTTAAATTTCCTTGAATCAACTAATTATAAGCAAAGATGGATAGTGATTAGCAGTGGAATCCAAGACAAAACGCATTTCGTCCTATTTGGGACTCATCAGTTGGATGTATCTATCTTAGGGTTGATATTCACTCTCAGACTAGAACCCATTACCGTTCTCTACAAACTTCATGGAATTATCCAATTAATTACTGAATCTTGATAGCTACTTGTTTGCGCAAAGGGGTGAATTTTAAATTCACTTACTGTTGTTTGCTTCTATCCTTTTTTATATTCAATATAAAGTATTGAATAAAGTAAGTATTATCATTAATAATATAGTCCTACTATATGGAGCTGAAACTTGAAGAACTACCACAACCATCATCAAGAATGAACAAGCATTTATAAATAATTGTTTATGTAAGATACTCAATATCCGTTGACCGGATACCATCAGCAACAGCCTGATATAGGAAAGAACAAACCAACTTTCAATTAAAGAGTAACTTAAGAAAAGACGGTAGAAATGGATAAAACATACATTATGGAAATCATCAAACGGCATCACGGGGCAAGAACTAACTTGGAATCATGAAGGGTAACGGGAATGAGGAAGGCTCAAGAACACATCACACCGGGAATCGGAAGCAGATATCAGAAGGATCAATATAAACTGGAAAGAACTGGGAAGGATTATCGAGGACGGAGTTAAATGGAAGATGCTGGTCGGTGCCGAATGCTCCTACATGAAGGGTAACGGGCGTACATAAAATACTTTAGTTGATACCACTGATACCATAAATATATAGTTAATTAATATTTATTAGTAAAACATGGAAGAAGAATTATAATAACAAATCAAATTGACTGAATGATGTTATAACTTGTGGCCATATGCCCTATTAATATATACCGTAATGATAGAGTCAATTAGAGAACAATGATTTATCGACTAAGCCAATGACTTGTACGGACAGTTTAGAGCCGTTATCGATCCTGCTTCCTGCCTAGCCCTACCTGTTGAGTCAAGAACATCAATCTAAGCCTCGGCGATATAAAATTGTGTACTTTAATCATACTGAGTTTACATACAAACCAAAAAGACCACATCGTGCCATAAAATAGAAGACAACAGTTGTACACGATCTATCCAAAAGTAGCTGTGAATGTGGGAGACTGCAACTAATATACTGGATATGAATCCATAACGGTAGATTGTATAACAATAGTCTATGGGTTAAAACAGCCGTCTAGTGCTTTCAGCTTTTCCATGGTGATCTAGCTTTAAATAATTCATGAATTCAACTATTAAATAATGAAAATGTTTAATTCTGTTGTTATTTTAGATTAACTACTTAATAATAATAAAGTAATAAATTTATACATAATCAAAATTACCGTTTAATTAATTTATCCACTTTTGATTTACGTTCTTGTATTTCAATATTTAATTGACTATTTTCCGTTGTATTAATTTTAATTTGTTTATTTAACATTATTTGATGTAAATTAATTTGTTCTGTACGTTCTTTAATAGTTGAATTTAGCTCACAACTAGCTTTTTGTAAATCATATCTCTATAGTGATTATAACCATAAGAAACATAGAACTTTTACTGTAACAAGTTTAAGAGATAAAAAGATAACACAAATGTAATAAAGAATCAGTACTATATCAGTAGGAGTTAAACAATAGAGGTCAAACTAACTGGTGATTCTCCCTACAGAGTAAAACCGATTTGTTTACTAACAGGTTGTTTCAATGTATGATACTAGTTAAGTTAATATATATCGCTGCATTGACAATATGATTCGATTAGGCATTTTTTAGAGATGATAAAATTCTTTTAGATAGTTCTGCAAAATATTTAACATCATGTTCACCATATATAAGTATTAAAGTGGTGTTTACTACTTATGTCGAAAGATATAAGTAGTATGTAACACCAATAGGAAGTGGAAAACCCGGAAGCAGAAAGCTAAGAAGATTAAGTTGAAGTAAATAGAAATGGGAATTGAAAGGAATTGTGAATTGGAAGATTCACATAGAATGTAGAAGACAAACATTTGTAGGCCTATTTACTCCTCCTCTGTAGCGAAATCTGTAATGAAATGATTAAATTTTTACGTATTCGATGTATGGTAGGGAAAGTAAAGTGTGATTAATCGTTGAGCGTAGACCAATAGCAACGACACATGGAGTATTGAATATGTGATTTTCCTTCTTATTATTGAGTTGTACTTTGAATTTTCACTGAGTATGACAGCACGGATACAGAAGGCTCGACTAGCTTTTACCAACTTGCATGATTTATGGCGTAGACGAGATATACGTTCGTTCCGTCCTACTTTATGACTGTGAAACATGGCCAGTATGAGTAGAGGATATTCGCAGATTACTAGCATTTGATCATAGGTATCCCCGAAGCACTGCTCGTTTTCTATTTATTATTCAGTCAGCGTTATTCGACTCTTGGAGAACACTCTAGAATCTTCTCATGTTAAGAAACTATAAATATACTGCCGTTTCTCCTATTATGTTTTTTTTACTTTCGTCTACCTTTATTATTTAGAATATAATTTTTTTCCTATTCCACCATATTGTGATATAAAAACTTCTCAAACGAATTAATGTCCAAAGAATACTCAGCAACAGGAATACCTGGGTCGTAATATGAGAAAATTATAATAGTTGATGAACCTCTAGCAATATGGTTCTATAATATATCAATCTTAGTCATCCTGATAGAAACGGACGACAAAGATAAGCACTGTATACACATGTTCTGTACCTCATTGTGTTAAAAGCAACCTGATATAATCAATCAGGATAAAATTACTTTCAACGACAAAAGCAATGATTGATCAAAATAAAAACTCAAACTTAATCATGCAGAAGAGGAAGGTCCAATCTTTTCTACCGTCTTAAGTGGATTTAAATCCCATGAGTACATATTCTGTAGTATAAAGTAATTCAACATATTCATTCAGTTTATAGTATCTTCTTTCCCAGTACATTTTCCAAGATTAAATTTAATTATGTAATTCATCCAACATAATAGTGAAAACAGATGGAACATTTACATCTCTCAACTTAGAGGATCTATGTAAATGTGGACATTGTGACATCACAACATATATATATATATATATATATATATATATATATATACCATGACAAAGATCATCTAAAATCTTTGATAAAGGTAATTTTTTCATGACCTTAATCACAAATTCCTGATGAATACACTAACAAACTTAAAAATATACCTAAGCCCCTTTCTGTCTAATAGACTCCTACCACTTCAAGTTCGTAAATGTAAAACATGATTCATTTAGATATCATCTAATGAATTATACTAATTTTCCTATTAGCAATACATAGATTGAATAAAAGCACATTCCATAAACGATTATGTTGCTCTACTCTGATTGGCTAATTCTTATCCAATCAGCGTTAGCGAAAACTCTACAATCTTCTCATATCAAAACATTATAAATATACTACTGTTTCCCTTATTATGCTTAATAGCCATGACTACTAATCAATAGAAGTAACCGGGTAGCAACAAAAGAAATTTATCATAAAAAAAACAAAACAAAACATTACCTTATTTGTATATTGTTCATATATTTTTGTTAATTTATTCACTTGTAATTTTTTAAGATTTTTTTCTATTAAAAGTTTTTGTAAATTACAAGTTTCTTTTTCTTTTTCTTTTAACATAATATCCATTTCTAATTCATTTGTATTTAATTGATTATTAAGTAAATCATTTTTATTATATAATAATTCATGTTCACGTTTAATTCGATGTAGTTCTCTCTAGAAAGAAAGAAAAAAGAGAAAAAAGAAAAGAAAAAAGAAAAGAGAAAAAAGAAGAAGAAAAAGAAAAAAGAAAAGTTAGTTTAAGATGATATACGTCATTGAGGGGTGTGACAGCAGTAAGGTGTTTCCCTCGGACAACCAGCATCTGTCGTGATGACGCCTTCTCACAAGGAAGGAAGAGGTTAGAAATAGTTGACATTAAAAATGTCGCACCTCACCTTACCTCACGGATTTCCATCTCCGGCAGTAAGGCCCTTTGTAGAACGGAGCTAACACGTTAAAAACTTTCCATATTATTCAAGGTAACCAACTATACATTACGTTTATTTCATCCACGCTATTCAATGAACCTACGTTCTAATAATCGAAAATTCCGTTCTACATCGTTTTGTGACCCATTCATGCACCAGCTAACCGAGATAGTATAATGAAAGTTATACATATTATATGTCGGGAGATTCAGACTAACAGGCATGATCAATGTAATAATCAGAACTTATTTTTAGTGATAGTAAGTAGTATGATTCAAAATAGGTCACAATAATCCCAATGTATTCACTCTTTCTTATGTCCCAAATCATAAAGATCAATATCATCTTTCACTGTTTATTGCCTAATTTCATCCTTCTTCTTGTGATTATTATTTGAACACATAAATATTGGCACAAAGGGGCATCGAAAACATATACACCACACAAGTCACTTGATTTGTGTGAAAGCTGAGATACTGCCAGGACGCCCAAACCGAAATAGGTGGTTTTTTTAAGGGGCCACACCCGAAGCCTTCGACTTAAAGGTCGTGGAGCAACGTCACGAGATGCAGTCCCATGGTAGCCGGTGATAAACAATAAGTTCATACGCTATTTGTTACCTCAGAATCCTGGAGCCCATGTACACCAATGGTTTGGGATCGGGGTTTTCCAACTCACCTAGATGAATCCTCTATATCCATCAACCCGGTTAAACGGTCGGACATTCGTTTTTCTTCCTCTCAATTTCGTAAACAACAGTAACGCCTTGAAAAGGTGGTGAGTAGGACTTCCATGGTAGTGGTTGTATGCACGTGACCACATGAGAGCATTTGGAAAAGGGGAACAGACTCTCCGCACTCTCGACCTTATCAGAACATTTGAGAGCCATTCATTTTCATTAAATTCTATATTCTTATCATTGTTGATACTTTGGATATATTTCCTTTTAATCTTTTTTCACTACGAACAAATAACATTTACGTTACTTCAAGACCCTCACATTTTTTTAAACCTTATGTTGTTTATGTCCAACTGTGTGAAGATATCCACAACATGTACAAGAGTTTAGAGATTTCCTACTCCGGATTAACAATGTATTTCGTCAATTGAATACTACTAACCACTGGCAAACTGTATACTCAGAATATGAAGGAAAGCTATATCGTGACATATAATTAAATATTAATTTTTTAAGATAATGAGTCGACTAATATTAGACCACCATTGAAAACCTGGAAGAACTGGATGGCCGTTTCCTCTTATTGTGGGGCTCGTCAGTGGTGCGCGTCCACAATCCCACCCGAGGGATTTGAACCCAGATCATTCAGTCTCGCACACCAACGCTTAACCTCTAGAACATTGAGCTTGTCGACATCCAACAATGTCAATCCATAACCAACCCATGAAATTGTACAACCATCTTCCATTGTACTGAGGTAGATACCTATCTATACCCAACACGGATTAGCTCCACTAGTCATGAATTCTCACTAGAACTCCGAGAAATCCCTCACAAAGCTAGTCACTAGTGAGCATATGGTAATTATCAGTATAGGGTTGCATTGATTGAGATCATGAATCGATTGATGTTAGTCCACCATTGAAAACCAGGAATCACTGGAAGACCATTTCATCCTATTGCAAGACCCTTCAGCAGTGTGCATCCACGAGCCCACGGGCGAGATTCAAATAGTTTAAATAAGGATTGATGTTGATCTTCAATAGTTATTAGTTACTAATATAAGATCATAATGTAAATTTAAACTTACACTAAGATTTCTTAATTGATTTGTTAATAAATTCACTGTATTATTTCGTTCATTTAATTCGTTTGTTAATTCATTAATTTTATTTTCCATAAATTCACATTGTTCAACATTTTGTTCACCGGTCATTTTACCAATACGTCTTTCTAAACTTTGTATAGTAAAATCCTAAATTATTTTTAAGTACAAAAAGGATATTACTAACATTATTATAAGTAGTATAAGTAGTAGTATTCGAAAATATGTTGATGGAATAATTAAAGAAAGTTTAAAGTTTATTCTTTTGATATATAATTATAGTAGTGTGATGTGTTCTACTGATGTTGACAGATATAAGTAGTATGTATCATCAGTTGGAAGTAGAATGCTTGGTGACAGAACGTTGTGAAGATTGAAGAAAAGAGAACAACAACAGTGAATGATTGGTGCGGTAAGAAAGAACAATCAAATCTAAGATGATTGATTGACATTTTGCAAATAAGGAATTTACTGTATGATTATCAGATCTCATTAAGATATTCTATAATTTTGTGCTGTAGTACATCTATTTGTCCGTAGTTAGGTTTTCGTTCACTACAGTAGTATAAGCGGTATTCAGTAATTCATAAAATCATCTTTTCAATATGGTAGAGATGATATCTAGGTCAGATAGATGATTTAGGTATATTTTCCTTCCTTTAAATGGATGGTTTGGTTGTGAAGCTTTTATTGTTCTTTTGAATCATATCATCAGTTTAAACATCAGGTAGGAGTTTTCCTTCATCTCAAGAACATATGAGTGTAGCATGCTTCTCGTTGTTCGAAAATGGGAGAATTTTGTCGAAAGGAAGACTCTATATCTACCAACAAGTGTAAGATATATATATCTCCAATCAACTGCTCAATAAGATAGAGAATTATTAAGCAAAACGGAAGAAACATGATACACTTTATACGAACAAACCATTCAGCTCAGAGAAAAAAACTCCAGTTAAAACATTCTTTCATATTATAATAAGAAATGAATGAAGTTGTATACTACTAATAAGAAATTCTTATAACTACGAAAGCCATCATCCAGTAGATACAAGTGTTTATTAACAGTTGTCTACGCAAAATACTTCGGATCCGTTAGTCACTATTAGGAACAACCGACTGTGGGAATGAACAAACTAGATCACAGCGGAGGAGGAAACCAAGAAGAAGCACTGGAAGTGAATAGACAAATATTGAAGAAAGTACCCAACCGTATCACAAGGCAAGCCCTCGCTCGGTATCCTCAAGCTAAAAGGAGAAGAGGAAGACCAAAGAAAGGGATACAGACATGCGAAGAATGAACAAGAATTGGATGGAACTGGAAAAGAAGGCTCAGGGCAGAGTGGGTTAGAGAATGCTGCTCGGTGGCCTAGGCACGATTGGAGGTAGCAGGCGTAAGTAAGTAAGAACTTGTAAAACCAGGAGCCACTGCAATTCTCGCGACGCAAAGTAAGAACACTAAGACTCGCATACGTTAGGATTTACTTACCCAAAACACGAAAATGACCCTAGTCAAAAATACACTCATTTATATACAGATTTATACACCTATTTAAATTAAGAATTATGATGAAATCATATTGATGAAAAATACTTTGAGTTAAAACAGATCACATGCCGAGTGTCATGTTGAGCATAATTCAACAAAATATCCCCGTCACCATCTTAGAGGAGATACATAAGATTAGCAAAACAAATATGTTCGAAATTAGACGAATGGACTGGAATATTGATAATGGCATAAAAGTACATGTCCTAATTTGTTAGCTACCGCAGTGACCGGATAAGAATTATACTACTGACAAATAGCTAGTAGTATCAAGTAATATATATAATAATATACTCAGTAGAGAGCAGCCACGATCCCTCTTGCGGGAACAGAACCCAGGTCTAGCATACGGACGCTTAAACTCTAGACCACTGAGCCGGCACCCAACGATTTTAATGTATAGCATCAACTAATACACGATATTGCATCAACGTCAACTATTGTCTTCAATAAGTTACTGTATTACAACAGATATAGTTGAACTCCACGGATCACGGCTTCTCACTAGAACTCCAGGAAATACCTCTTGAAACCACTCAATAGTGAACATATGATTATTATTATCAGAAAGGAGGTTTTGTGGAGATTGTTGTAATTTTTTCCATGGTGATCTATCTTACATGGACTATTAAATCAATACAACCTTTGCAAAAACCCCTTTTAAACGTAGTTATTAGATACTAAAAGAATAACAATATAACAGCATTACAATAATGCTTAAAAATACATCAAAATTGATAGGGGAAATAAGCTATAAGAAAAGATATTTCAATTGACTGACAAAATATAATGATCCACTATTACTACTACTATTATTATTAGCTTTATTCATTATTATAGGCTTGCTACAACATGGAATTCTCAGTACAAAGTATTTCAGCAAGTTTCCCATTTCTTATCTCTTGATCGATCCTGACGATAACATATCGAGTGATCACCAATTATTATCCATAAGGCAGTGGAGCAATATAAGGAGATACAGTCCCATGGTAGACGGTCACCAATCATTGGTTCATATACAATTTGTACCTTCAGAATCCTGAAGCTCATATGCACCGTTGGTTTGGAATCAATGTTTACCAACTCTCCTATGTGAACTCTTCGTGTTCATCAATCCGTAAATATACCCCTGTCAAGAGGAGGCAGTGAGTAGGACTTGCCTAGCAGTGATTATATACATGTGACCATGTGAAAGCGTTTCGAGCGAGTGAGCGAGAGAGAGAGATGACTTATTCAACTCTCAGCCGTACCAGAGTATTTGGGGGGAAGCATATGTATAATACTAAAAGTTGTCTATTGTTTACATAACCTTTGTCAGATGGGTTTTGTGGATATTATAGTTATTTCAATGGTTAAGATCATGAGTCAGTTGGAGCTAGACCACCATGGAAAACTTGGAAGCACTGGACGGCTGTTTCGCCCTATTGTGGGACTCCTCAGCAGTGCGCATCTATGACCTCGCCCCCCTGCGAGATTCGAACCCAAGACCTACTGGTTTCGTGCGCGAGCACTTAACCACTAGACATGGTCTTTGTATACAAACAATAGAAATGAAATTATAATTAAAATAAAATACCTAACCTGACGATATAAAACTTCTTGTTGTTTTAATAATTGTGCATCTAACATTTCAATTTTCATCATTAAATTTCTTTTCGTTGTTTCATTGCCTGATATGGATTGTTTTAATAATTTCTCTTCATGAATAAGTTCTTCATATTTCTAATAAAAAAGTATTAGATTATAGTATAAATCAATATATACATCAAAGAAATGAATTATTGTCAGAGAAGGGTTTAAAGGAAATGATATTAATGTAAGAGATGAATTGATGAATCAATTGAAGTTACACTATCCTGGAAAACCTGAAAGTATTGGATGGATATTTCGTCCTAATGTGTGATTCCTCAGCCGTGTGCATCCATGATCTCACATGCAGGACTTGAATATACTCGTAGTCTCGAGTTGGAAAGTCTAATTTCTAGATCACTGACCCGGTATTCAATGATGTTAGTGTCTAACTTCAATTAATCTGCGAAATAGCTTTAAGGTCTAATTTTAATTGACTTATGAATTCATCAATTAAAATAATTAGTTACTAGGAAGTAGAATTTTTTTATAAATAACTAAAACTATAATAAAGAAGTTTATTACACATGCTTCTTGTCTTGTAATAATGGCTAGTAAAGAGATAGGCTGAAGCAAGTTTGAATATAACCCAACTTAAACAGTTCAAATGGATATTCTCATAATCTCTAATTCAGCTCACTGCTCCCTTTAGATTTATAATCAAGACTTCTTTATGTTCAATTCTCTTTAAGATAATGGTTGGAAGTAGTCTACAAAAAACCCTGGACCTAGGTTTCGTGTTATTTGGTATTTGTCAGCAAAGTATACCGATAACCATGAACTGACACTCCCTGACAGATTCGATCCTGTTTCATCCAGCGTCACAGTTAAAGACGTTACCTTGCTCACAAGCATCAAATATCATAAAACGTAACTACCTCCAATCAACATCTCATCTCAACATAATGTACGCAATGTCAAATCATCTAGGCTACATTGTAAATTAGTCGATAGGATTCGATCTGCATTAAGAAGAAGCTGACACACGTGATATTGATCAACACTCAGCCAGTTAGTCAGTAACAATATATAGAACTTCGTATGTACGTACATCAGTTCGAGTTGCCATACCACATTAGCACACACATACAAATGTCGATTCAAATCTCATAGTGCTAGAGGTAGTAAGATTATAGACAGTAATCGGAAACACTAAGGTTTGAAGATGTTATTTATGGAGTATAATCCAATGTAATAAATTTGGAAAGAGAAGAAATAATGGACACAAAAAGTTCACAAGATTAGAATTTGGGAGAACACAGATAGTGGATGCATCTGCACCATTGCAAACAATTTTGAGCCATGTGTCATTCAAGGTCTCTAACTATCGGCTGCTATCGTCTCAAGGATCCCAACCAGATAATCTACACCTACCAACATGGCTCATTTCACTTGTCAGTGACTTCATGGATTTGTGCTTTCTTCCATCCTACTTCTACACCATGAAACATCACATGTCGGGGCAGTTGATAGTTAGGCAGTTTAAAGTCTTTAACGATCCTTTTCCCTGCCTAGTTTTGCCTGTTTAGTCCAGAACGCCAATTACAGCTTCCACTATGGGAATCATGTATTTCAAACATACTGGATTTATATACAAACTAAACAGACCACATCGTACTAGAAAATAGATAAAAACACTTGTACAAGATCTGACCAAAAGTGTCTGTGAATGTGGGAGACTGTAATGAAAAGTCTAAGCCTAACTCACGAACGGTAAATCATATCATAATAGTCTATAAGTCAAAATAAAGCCTATAATAAGGGGAACGCGAATGTGTATTTTTGTCACTAATCAATTATACAATAGGAATATATATAAAATGTTAGTCTTTTAATAGATACCCATTGTTACCATTCATTATTCTCATCAAAATATAACATACACCTCTTCTGTTCTGTATGGAAACTATTATATGTCCCATAAATATATGATATTCACTATATTATCCATCCATTATTTGATTCTAAATAATAGGAGAATTGAATTTTACAACTTATGTGGAGGTTTGAAAGTGTTTGAAGGACTGCAGAAATTTCATTACTTACTTACTTACCTACGCCTGTTACCCCGCGTGGAGGAGCATAGACCATTCACTAGCATTCACCACCCAACTCTGTCCTTGACACTCCTTTCCAGTTGTTTCCGGTTTCTGTTCATGCTTTCCATATCTGCTTCAAATCCTCGAGGCAATGTGTTCTTCAGCCTTCCACTTTTCCGTTTCCCTTCAGGATTCTAAGTTACTGATTACCTCATGATATAGTCTGATGATTTTTGTAATGTATGTACTATCCAACCCGGATAGCTCAGTGGTAACATCTCTGATTGTAAAAACTAGGTGAAACAGGATCAAATCCGTCAGGGAGTATCAAACGCTTCAAGATTACTAGTACACCTTGTTGACAAGTGTCAAATAACATGAAACCAATGTCCAAAGTATCCTATCAACTATATTCAACCATCATCTTATCTCAACATCGTGCACACAATATCGAATCACTTAGACAAGTAATCATATTACAACTTAGTCGATAGGTTTCAATTTTGCACTAAGAAAGATCTGACATGCGTGACTTTGGTCACCCACTTAGTGATAGATAATAATCTATAGTTATAAAATCAGAATAATATAACACCCCCCTCCTCCTTATTCAATCTATTACATAATCTTACCTGATTAACTTTAAATTTATCATCTCGTAATTTATTTAATTGTTTACAATATAATTCATGATTGAATTCTTGTAATGATAATTGTTTATCAGCTTCATTAGCATATTGTTCAATGGTTAATTTACATTCAGTGACATAAGATAATTGTTTCATTGAATTCTCAATAGATTCTTTAAGTTTTTCAAGACTATTATGAATAACAAATGGAAATGAATCATTGATATATATTAAAAAATAAAATATAAATATATCATCAAGGATTTGCATTGATGCTGTCCAAACAAGCACAATAGGCACTTATAGGATGGGAATCTCATGGACTGAGGATCATCAAAGCCTCATTCAAAACAAAGAAAGAGGGCATTTCAATGAATATCATCCAATGCTATGCGCCTACCAACGATTACAATGAAGACGCTAAAGGTCAATTCTACGATAGGCTGCAGTCAATCGTCGAGAAGTGCCCAACAACGGACTTGACCATTCTGATGGGAGACCTAAATGCCAAGGTTGGAATGAACAATATCGGATATGAAGACATCATGGGACGACATGGACTGGGAGAAAGGAACGAAAATGGTGAGAGATTAGCAAACCTATGTGCCTTCAATAAACTGGTCATAGACGGCACCATATTTCCACACAAGCGCATTCACAAAACCACATGGACTTCACCGGATCACACTACACAAAACCAAATCAACCATGTTTGCATCAACAAAACGTTCAGGAGGACTATAGAGGACGTGAGAACCAAGAGAGGAGCTGATATAGCATCAGATCATCACTTGCTGGTCGCCAAGATGAAATTGAAACTCATGAAGTACTGGACAACGGGGAGGGCAATATCACAGAAGTTCAATACGGCCTTTCTTAAGGATACTAACAAACTCAACAAATTCAAGATAGCCCTCAGCAACAAGTTCCAGGCGTTTCATGATCTACTCAATGGGGAAGGAACTACTGAGGAAAGTAACTGGAAGAGGATCAAAGAGGCAATCACTTCAACATGTCATGAGGTCCTGGGTCAAAAAAGAAGCACCATCACAAAGAATGGATCACTGTTGATACACTGGATAAGATTCAAGAAAGAAGGAACAAGAAGGCAGCAATCAATACCAGTCGAACAAGAGCAGAAAAAGCCAAGGCACAAGCTGAATACACAGTAGTAAACAAACAAGTGAAGAGGAGCATCAGAACTGACAAACGTAAATATGTGGAAGATCTAGCAAAGACGGCGGAAAAGGCTGCAAGAGAAGGGAACATGAGACAACTGTATGACATAACAAAGAAACTCTCTGGAAATCGCCGCAAACCAGAACGATCAGTGAAAAGCAAGGAAGGCGAGGTAATCACCAACATTGAAGAACAACAAAACAGGTGGGTAGAACACTTCAAAGAACTCTTGAATCGACCAGCTCCACTGAACGCACCCAATATCGAAGCAGCACAAACAGACCTCCCAATCAATGTTGGCCCACCAACAATTGAAGAAATCAGCATGGCCATCAGACAAATCAAGAGTGGCAAAGCAGCAGGACCAGACAACATTCCAGCAGAGGCAATAAAAGCAGACGTAGCGGCAACTGCAATGATACTCCACATTCTCTTCAATAGGATTTGTGATGAGGAACAAGTACCAGCAGACTGGAAAGAAGGACTTCTGATCAAAATACCAAAGAAAGGCTATCTCAGCAAGTGTGATAACTACAGGGGCACCACTCTTCTCTCAATAGCGGGAAAAGTCTTTAACAGAGTATTGTTAAACAGAATGAAGGACTGCGTACACGCCCATATTTGAGACCAACAGGTAGGATTCCGTGAGGATAGATCGTGTACAGACCAAATCGCAGCTCTACGGATCATTGTGGAACAATCAATTGAATGGAATTCATCACTCTACATGAACTTCACTGACTACGAAAAAGCATTTGACAGCGTGGACAGAACAACACTATCGAAGCTTCTTCGACACTACGGTGTATCTCAGAAGATAGTCAATATCATACAGAATTCATATGATGGATTACACTGCAAAATCGTGCATGGAGGACAGTTGACAAAGTTGTTCGAAGTGAAGACCGGTTTTAGGCAAGGTTGCTTACTCTCACCCTTTCTCTTTCTCTTGGTGATCGACTGGATCATGAAGACGTCAACATATGAAGGGAAGCATGGAATACAGTGGACATCTAGGATGCAGTTGGACGATCTGGACTTCGCAGATGATCTGGCTCTTCTATCGCACACGCAACAACAAATGCAGGAGAAGACGAACAGTGTAGCAGCAGCCTCAGCAGCAGTAGGTCTCAATATACACAAAGGGAAAAGCAAGATTCTCTGATACAACACAGCATGCACCAATCCAATCACAATTGACGGAAAAGATTTGGAAGATGTAAAATCCGTTACATATTTGGGCAGTATCATTGATGAACATGGTGGATCCGATGCAGATGTGAAGGCGCGGATCGGCAAAGCAAGAGCAGCATATTTACAACTGAAGTACATCTGGAAATCAAAACAACTGTCAACCAACACTAAGGTCAGGATTTTCAATACAAATGTCAAGGCAGTTCTACTATATGGGGTACAAAACTGGAGAACTACGAAAGCAATCATCCAGAAAATACAAGTGTTTATTAACAGTTGTCTACGCAAAATACTTCAGATCCGTTGACTGAACACTATTAGCAACGACGTACTGTGGGAAAGAAAAAGCCAGATCCCAGCGGAGGAAGAAATCAGGAAGAAGCGCTGGAAGTGGATAGGACGCACATAGAGGAAAGCACCCAACTGCGTCAAAAGACCAGCCCTCACATGGAATCCTCAAGGCCAAAGGAAAAGAGGAAGACCAAAGAACACATTACGCCGAGAAATGGAAGTAGGCATGAGAAAAATGAACAAGAATTGTATGGAACTACAAAAGAAGGCACAGGACAGAGTGGGTTGGAGAATGCTGGTCGGCGGCCTATGCTCCATTTGGAGTAACAGGCGTAAGTAAGTAAGTAAGTAAGTAATAGGGGTTGCGTAGATTGTTAAGTGTTTGATTGAGATCATGAATCGACTGATGTTAGACCATTATCGGGAACCTGAAAGCACTGGACGGCTGTTTGGTCCCAGTATTGTGGGACTCTTCAGCAGTACGCATCCACGATCTCGCCCCTGCGGGATTCGAAGACCTTGGGTTCGAATCCCGTCGTCTAACATCAATCGGTTCATGATCTCAATCAAAAACAAATATATCAGTAATAACCCACTGTAGGAAGGAATAAATCAGATTTCAATGTAGGAAGAAATCAAAATGAAGCCTTGAAAGTGAATAGGACATATACATTGAGGAAAGTACTCAACTGTGTCACAAGGTAAGCTCTTACTTGGAATCGTCAAGGTGAAAGGAGACGAGGAAGACCAAAGAACACGTTATGCCTTGAAATAGAAACAGACATGAAAAGAATGAACAACAGTTGAATATATCTTGAGAGGAAGGCGGAGGACAGGATGGGTTGGGGAATGCTGAACGATGGCCTATACTCCATTTTGGGAGCGGGGTAACAGGCGTAAGTAAAATAAGTAAGTAATTACTAAAACTCATTTAATACAGGACATCAGGTCGATATCTTGAAATCTTTCAAAGTGGTTAATAAACAGTCAAATCCCAGGCTTCTGAAGCTTTTGTGTTCAGAAAGAGATGATTGTTAATCTTTCTTTACCTTGGTGATAAATATTCTTTAATTATATCATGAAAACTTGTTCAACTCTTTCTCTTAATTAATTGCGTAATCATGTTTTTTATTATTTCAATTGTCTTCTAGATTACCAGTCTTAATTGACTGACCTTTACTCATTTTATTCCTATCAGAGTCACTGAGACGGAAATAACATTAAGAGGGTAAACCTTGTCTTACCAAAGCTGAAATTGGTATACTGTTACATTGTAATGAAGTGTCTTCGCAATGACTCCTAATGCTCCGTATTTCATTCGTCTAGATAACCGCTTTTTGATAAATCCCAACAAATATAAATGAACAACAATTGGATAGAAATAGAAAGAAAGGTCCAAGATAGAGTGGATTGGAGAATGCTGGTCTGCGGTCTATGCTCCATTGGGAGTAACAGGTGTAAGTAAGTAAGTACTTTTTATAAATGCAGTATTAAGTAATAAATTAGAGCTATGGAAATATAATTAAGAGGTTATGAATCAGAGAAACTGATATGAAGAGTCTTTTGGAGGTAACAAAAGATCAATTAATGGTAATGAGAAGTGACCCATAAGTCAAGTGTATTTCATTAGGGTCAATGGGTTAAATTCCTAAGGATTATAGTGGTATATATATGAGTATTTGTGTATTTCATTCGGTAGTTCAAAAACACATTTTCACTCACTGTTGTGATCTCGCTCAAGTAGTCAGTTGGGGAGAGGGAGTAGTGCGTAGCATACTGTGTATCAGCTTCAGATTTTTGTACACTTTACATCACGACAGAATGCTTGGGTAGTAAACATTTGGATAATATGATCAGTGAAGTGTTTCAACAATACATTGTGATAGAGTATGTTCCAAATATTTTTTGTGCTCGGTATCTTTATAAAATCGCTGACAAATGGTTGAAACAACAACTTCTTAATCTTGAGGTTAGGCATTAGTCAGTCAGTCAGTAACAACGTAGAACTTCGTAAGTACGTACATCAGTTCAAGTTGCCACACCATATTAGCACAGAGACGCAGTCGTCGATTCAAATCCCGTAGTGGTAGAGGTAGTAAGAGTATAAGCAGTAATCGGGAAGATTAGTGTTTGGAGATGTTATTTAAAAACTGAACTAATTTTGGGAAGAGAAAAAAGAGACAAGGAGGAATCAGGAGATTAGAATTCGGGAGAACACAAAGAGTGTATGCACCTGCGCCATTGCAAACGATTTTGAGCCAAGTCATTCAGGGTCACTAACCATCGGTTGCCATCATCTCGCGGTCCATAACCAGGTAGTTAACACCTACCAACATGACTCAGTCCACTTGTCAGTGACTTCATGGACTTGTGCCATGTTTTGTTCTGGCTGCCCCTAGCTTTCTTTCAACCTACCCCTACACCATAAAACATTGCACGTCGGGGCAGTCGGTGGCTGAACATACGTAAAAAATGTCCCAGTCATCTCAACTGATGAAGTTTCACTACTTCATCAATGGATTTGCCATCCTTACCTAGTACCCGTTTCCTAACAACTGCGTTACTTACTCGATGGTCCCAGAGGTTAGGAATATGGTAATATGATCACTTATTGTTAAGCTAAGAGGAGCAAGATGATATAGAGTAGTGAACACGAACACAAGTAAGGACAATCGAATGCATTCAAATACAAAATGACAGAATGTTTTGCAAAATGTCAATCAATCGTCTTAGACTTAATTGTCCCTTCATATCCATATTAATCACTTTCTGTTCTCGTTCTCTTTTCTTAAATCGTCTTGACCTACTGCCTCCAGACATTTCACTTTCAGTTGATGATACATACATACTACTTATATCTGTCGACATCGGTAATACACATCACAATTGGTTTCTAATTTGACAGTGAGACTATAATTGATGGACGATCCAATCACACCTAAAGTGATAGGTCTTGGATTTTGACGCAAAATTCATTCAATCATTTGGTTAAATAGTATTTTGCCATTTTAATGGATATCAGTTCATGATGTAAACCTTAAGTCTAATCCTTAACCCTTAATCATTAATTCTAATACTAATCCATAACCATCATTTAACCTTAGTAACTAAGTAAACATTCCAGGATCATTTTAGCGTTGCTCAATGGTCGTCCATAAATTAGATTCTTCCCATTGAAAACATTTAACAATAATCTTAAACCATAGAATAATATTCACTGTATTCTTTTGAGTATTAAATTTTTCATTACAACTAGTTGTGTCAAATGATTCCTGTAAATAAAGTAAGCAAAGGTGGACGGTGGCTAGCAGTAGAATTTAAGAAGAGCGTTTCGTCTTATTGTGGACTCATCAGTTGGATGCATACTATCAAGTTATATATATTTATACTTACTTTTGTAATTTCTTTTCTTTTTCTTTTTTTAATTGTGAATTCAATACTCTAGCTGCTTCTAAGTCAATTACAGCTTTATCCACAGTACGTTTTAATGCTTCTAACTAAATATAAGAAAGAATGAAAGAAAGAAACAATCTATTCAAATTCAATATTCATCAAAACAAATTCCATCCATTAATGATCAAGACTGCGGAAAAACGTCCTATACAAGGGAGAGGGTGAAGAGTCCACTTTCTCTCTGCTGAAATGCTTTCACATAGCCATGCGTATACAACTACTAGCAGGGAATTCCTACTCACTACCTTATCGTGGCATTACTATTGTTTACGAAATTGAGAGGTTGAAAAGTAAATGTCTGATGGTTTAACCGGGTCGGTGGATATGGAGGATTCATCTAGAGAAGTTGGAAAACTCTTATTCAAAACCAGTGGTGCACATGGGCTCCAGAATCCTGAAGGAACAAATGGTGTATGAACCAATTATTGGTCACCGACTACCATGCGACTTCATCTCCCAACGTTGCTACACTGCCTTTTGGATTAGACCTGTAGGTCAAAGGCTCGGGGTGTAGCCCCTCCATGAAATTTACCTGCTTCGGTCTGAGCACCTGCAAAGTTTCTCAGCCTTCACACGAATTAAGTGACTTGTGTGGCGCATATGTATTTGATACCTCCTTGTACCAACGTTTATATTTTTGAATAATAATAATATAATATAGATTTGAATTTAAGAATGTTTTAATGCATTTCTAATGATTCGCTTGATTGAAATCAGTAGATCAAACTGGTTGTTGTATCTATACAGAATTCGCACTCATTTAAGAATATCGTTTATAATTAGCTCATAACTGGTTCAATTCATTTATTAATGTTAGAAAAATTTGTACTACATTCTATACAACTAGTTGAATGTAAGTTACTGGTAAGAAAGTTTAAAGAGTGTGTTACCACTTGTAATTTGGAAAACACGAGGCTATTGTTTCAAGTAAGAATATCAAACTAGACCAAAAAAATGTTAGGTTCTATGTTATGGACGCATTCCAAGTGAGGACCGATGTCGGACAAGGCTGCTTACTCTCCACCTTTCTCTTTCTTCTGGTGAGTGAATGGATTATGAAAGCCTCCACATCTCAAGCGAAGCACGGAATACGATGAATAGCTCTGAATCAATTAAAAGATTTGTACTTTACAGATGACCTGGCCTATCTATCCCATACACACCAACAAATGCAGATGAAAAGAACTAGTGAAGCAGCCGTAGGTCTCAACCTTCACAAAGAAAAAACCAAGATCCTCAAATACAACAAGAAGAACACTAATTCAACCACATTTGATGGAGAAACTCTATAAGAGGTGGAGAGTTTCTCATATCTGGGAAGCATCATTGATGAAGGTGCAGGATGTGATGTAAACATGTAGTCGAGGCTTGGCAAAGCAAGGACCGATTTTCTACAAGGCGATCAAGTAATTAAGGCTGTGTGTTACGGTAATAAAGATATTTGCTCGAAATATCATGAGTATCAGGTAGAAGCATGACAGAGCAACTCGAGCTAAGATAAGGAAAATCAATAAATTATAGGTAGATGAATCAGAACAGATATCAAATAAAAAGATATGAACTTTGGAGTTAATGAGTCACTGCCACCTAGAAATGATTGAATGTAATTCATACTACTTATAATTATTAAGTAGTATAGTTTGAAATCTCAGAAAATAAGCGGGAGAGGAATGATATTACGAAGTATAGGAAATTCATCATGAAAGTACTTACTTTTGATGTTGATTCAAACGATATCGTTGATCCTCATCTAATATTTTTTGGTTTTGATCTGGACCTGATGACTGAATAACATGATAATTGGAATCGATCCCAACTATTTGATGTATGGTATATCAAGTTTACTAATAAAACACAATGATATCTAACTTCTATATGACATATAAACCTATTCCATGTATGTTTATAGATTTTGATAGTGTTTATATTCAGTACATTGAGTGTATAAACCCCTTAATTATGGTAAATCCGATTGATACATTGTCAATAATAATCAATTTCTCGAGCTTAATTCACTTATAAACAATAACAGTTTTCAATATGTCGAGATATATACCATTTACCTGCACAGCTACTTATAAAGTAGAAACGATTACCGTCGCCCGCCCCCAGTTTATACAAGAGGAACATTATTAACAAGAACGTTCAAATAACTTAAGGTTATGAACGACCACAAAATGAACAGAAAACAAATTTCCCTTAAATTATTTAAATGATCAGTCTCTTATTAGCATATGGATATCCTGTGTATACTGGTATAATAATGCCCCGATTCACAAGCTTGATATGCAAATATCAGTAGTGGCTAGCAGTGGTATTCATGATGCGCATTTCTTCTTATTTGGGACTCGTCAGCTGGATGTACCAGGATATCACAGCCAAAATATACTACAGGATTCGAACCCATTATTGTCTGATTCGAACGTCATATATGTTTATGAATTGATTACACATTGGCACACAATTCAAAATGATTAATAATAAAACATAAATAAATACCTCACTATGAAAATCTTGTCTTTTCATTTCTGTATTCTGTAAATCTTCTTTACATTGTGTTATATTCTTAATGATTTCATTTAAATGATGTTGAACATCGGAATTATTTTCTATTTGTAAATGAAGAAAATTTAATTTCTCTTTATTTAATTGTTTTTGTTCATAAACTTGAACTTTAATTTGATTAAGCCGCTGAAATGAACAAATAAAACTGTAGTCAATGAAAATTGATTACTTAATTCAATTAGTTATTGTTTGCTTATATCTTCCAATTTGTTGATTAGAACTCCAAGTGAACAGTGTTTTGTTAGTATATGTGCATAATGTACTGACTGCCTCGGTTTATAAGCAAAGATGGTTAGTCGCTAATAGTGGAATTCAAGACGCGCGTTACGACCTATTTGGAACTCATCAACTGGATGTACCCGCGAATGGTACTGGGTTTGAGTCACAGAGTGAACATCAACTCTGGGATACAGGCAAATCCAGCTGACGATTCTGAAATAGGACGAAACACGCGCCGCTGTACATCTTTGCTTATTAAACCAAAAATTCCCTTCAGCATTTTTGTGTATTATCTCATACTACTTAATAATATTCAGTAAGTAGTTTTATTCCTAGAAATTTATGCGCGTATGTTGTGACGCAAGTTTACGTGTAACATTATTGTAGTAGTTATTCACAGTGTTCTCCGATCGTTTCATCCTGGTGTCGTTATCATGTCTGTATGAAGATGTATACTTGATCACATATTACAACTGACGTACACATTTCTTTTTTTTAGCTTAAATGTTAAGTGCCTAAATTGCTCATTGAAACATTTGACTTCATATTAAATATGTATTTGAATCTTAAAAATTCGTTTGACTGTTAATCCACTTTTGTAAACGCTTGCTCATACTATTATTTCTATTCGAATTTGTTTGATATGCTTGTGGCTTAATGATCCGTGCTGTCAAATAAAAAGACTGTAGTTGATGTTTCATGTTGCTTTCTGAATACATACACCGTTTAGATGTATTCAATAACAATTATTAAGGTGATTGATATACGAAGCCTTAGAAATCACCTCGAAAAGTCACATGTCGAGTTTCTGATTGGATGATTGTCTATACTGCTATTATGTTTAGTAGATTTCTGAAATTTTCAGAAAACCACAGAACATCTAAAATACTATAAAAATCGTGCATAACTGAACCTTTGAAGTAAAGAGTTTCTTACATATTTCGCTCCATTTCTCTCGTGTTCAAGATGCTATTTACATCTAACCTGGGAGTTACTAGAAGAGCTTAGGAACCGAACGTAGCGTTCAATTAGAAAACTTATCATAGACTTAAAACATGGAATATAAGATTTAATAGTCAGTAATCCCCAAGTAAAATACTACGCAGGTATACATTCTGAATAAAATGACAAAGAGATTGATTTCATCTTTAGACATCATATGATTTATTACAATTACAAATAAATATAAGCTTGAAAACATACCTGAGAAAACTGATCTAATTGAATATCACGTTGTCTCATTTGATTAATTACATTTTCCCATTGTTTTATTAAACTATCTCTTTGAGCATATGCTTCTTTGATCTCTTTACTTAAACTATCAAATTTAACTTGATCAACTAATCTATTTGTATAAGTTGTATCTAATTTAGATTTTAATTCATTTCGTTTATTCGTCAATTTTTCCAATTCTAAATCAAGTTCCTAAGTGAAGAAAGATATTTTGGAAAAAAAAGTTTTAATTATAAAAATAGCTCCAAATTGAATATGGCAAAAATAAAATCGGAATGAAAGAAAAATGCATATTTAAAATTACACTACTTGTGAGTAGTTTAAATGATAATGAACAATATTTTCTGTACATGTGTTACCTCATCTTGGTAACTATTTTCATTCTATAAGAACTTTTGTGTTTATTGGGGTTGTGGAATTGGTTTAATTTAAATTGTATTTTCAGAGGTTATGTATATTTTTATTCAAAAATGTATCTCTGATATTATTTTAGCATTTTAATCGTTTATGTTAGTGATTTGTGGAGGCCCAGGATTTGGTCCTCAATGGATTACTGAAGCGTTTCCAAGTACCATGAAAGATTGTTTAGTGCTGTTTTATTCTTTCTAATATTTATTAAACGGGTAAAACTGTTTTAAACGAAATGGTTTATACCTTACGATTATTGATAGTATGGAATATTTCATGGTGAACATTTATTTAAATGATATAGTTGACGGGCCTAATTCAGGATATAATTCAAATGCATATGGTATTTACATATTCTTACAATTGAAAAAAACATATGAAACTCAAGACAACTGTCAAGCAATATAAAAGTCACACTCTTCATTAGGAACGTCAAGACAGTTAATTCTATAGTACGGAGCTGAAACGTGGAGAACTACCACAACTATCATCAAAAAGTATGAGTATTTATAAACAGATGTCTACACAAGATAATCAACATTCATTAGCCGGATACCATAAGCGACAACCTACTATGGGAGAGAACAAACCAGCTTCCAGCTGAAGGCAAAATTAAGAAAAGACGTTTGAAGTGGATAGGACATACATTAAGAAAATCGTCAAAATGCATCATGAGGCAAGCGCTAACTTGGAATCCTGAATGGAAACGAAAAAAAAGAAGACCAAATAACACACCACGTCGGTACTTGTAAGCAGACATGAAAAGGATGATTAGAAACTGGAAATGCTTGACAAGGACTGAGTTGTATAGGGGAATGCTCATGGTCGACTTATGATCCTCCACGAAAGGTAACAGGCGTAAGTAAGTACGTAACTAGGTAGTGATCTATAATCAACATATCCATATGAGAAGTTCTTAATGTCAGTATATCTTTTTTTCAACTTACTTTAATCTTCGTATTATCTTGCTTGATATATTTTTCAATTATTTTCATATCTTCATCATGTTCACCAATCGTTTTCATTAGATTTTCTAATGATGTTTTATCAGAATCAACATGTGCTGAAGAATTTTCTAATTCTTTCCTTTTTTGATAAAATAAAGTCTAAATAGATAAGTGAATAAATAGAAAATGATATTCGAAACCCATAATATACGACTATTTAAATTCACTTGGTATTGTTTTGCTTGTATCTTCCCATTGAGGTTTAAGATTGCAATTGATCAGTCTGTTATTGGCATATGTACATACTGTGTGTATGCCTCGATATTGCCTTAATTCACAAGTTTTTATAAGCAATGATGGATAGTGGCTAGCAGTGGAATCCCGTTTGACGTGCATTTCGTCCTATTTGGGACTAGTCAACTGAATGTGCCTGCATCTCAGAGTTGGTTTTCACTCTCGGACATCAACTCTGAGATGCAGATACATCCACCCGACGAGTCACAAATGGGACGAAACGTGCGTCCTGAATTCCACTGCTAGCCACTATTAATCTACACTACTATTTAGTTAACAAAGTAGTTCAATGAAATCATCACAATAATATATTCATAAAGATGAATATCTTACAAGGTTATTTATGAGTTGACGGTTAGTGTCGAAAACATAATCTCATCATCTAAAAATTTCTATTTTTTAGAAGAATTATTAATTAATAAATACTACTTTTAATATTGTTAAGTCTGTTTTAAGTTCACTGTCCGAATTCACTTCCCTTCAACTCTTTTGTGTATTATTTTATGCTACTTATTATTATTCAGTAGATAGTTGTATTCTTATAAATTTCTATGCGGATGTTGCAGCGTAAATCTGTAGCAGTTATTCACCGTTTTATGCAATCATTTAATCCTTGTTTAAATGCAGTAGTTTTCATATGGCTTGCTCTTAGTTCGTTTTTTGCCTGTTGATAAACAGCTCTCAAGATTAGATACAACCAACAGCTGTCATTTTACACTGTCGGAGCCTTTTCATTTCAAACAAAAAAGACGTGGTAAACACCACAGACATCTCATAAGTTGAGGTATATAACTAATGTTTGTATATTGTTCAATAAAGAAATGCTATTTTAGACAAATCGTTGCTTTGTGAACTTTGATTTTGGGCGTATCTCCATTAGGCGGTTTAGACGCTTCGATAGACTTAACAGATATACACTTATGACTAACTTGAAGTTATAACTGGTAAAGAATGGAATGAGCTGTTCTTATTAATCTGGCAGTAGAGTACATTGTCATGTAAGGTCTCTCAAATAATACAGTGAAAATGATCAAGGTTGGATTAACTCTTCTTAAAAGCTGGTTTTTAATTTAGACACTTTATATGATCTTTAAATCATATTTTGTTGAGTCATAAATACCAAATACAAGTTTGCACTGGAAAATCTATAACAGTTACTACTGTAGTGAACAAGAACAAAGGCGAGGACTTTGTTATTACTTCGTTTCCGTACCAATCATTCTTTGTCCTCATTCTTTCCACATCGATTTTCCCAACCTTCTGCCGCTAGGCATTCAACTTTTGATTGGTGGTGCACACTATTTATATCTATAGCACACACTGCATTCATCCTCCGCTTTAAACAGTCATTCTTGCAGTGATTCTGCTTGCTATGCTACTTGTTTTTTGCAGTCTGTGTCACTTTCTCTGTGAAAATGTCGAGTTTGCAAAGAGCTGATCTTCATAGTTCCATCGACCTGCCGTGCTATCGAAGTCCAATGTTTGCCCAGCAGCTGATCCATTCAACGCTGCCCCGCCAGAACACTACCTGTTAACTGATATCAGTTTCATTGGAAACATTTCTGTAAAAAAAGCTAATACACCTTATGTAATATATTCTTTGGTAAGCCCACTGCTCCTCATGGTGCTATAGTTAAAAAATAACAGGATATTCAAATCATAAAAACTGAGGCAAAACCAGTTTGAGTTTGTCAAAACTTCTGAAATTTACATAGTTGAAGTTTTTTTAATTATGGAACTGGCTCAATGTTGTCTTGACACATTATGATATTGTTGTCAATCTGAAATCATTCCATGTTTTAATGAAAAGCTTTAAAAATTATTTTCAAGGATGGATATTAGCCGGCAGATAAATCCTGTATGAGCACTTCGCCCCCGTTTAGGACTGGTTAACTGAATGTATCCTCATCTGTATTGGTGATTCCTTTAAAACTCGAATCCAGCACCCCAAGCTTTAGACATCAATCTACTCTTTGCTTAGCTATGGAGTCCAGTGTCGTTCCAAGGTATATTGTGTTGATTAACAGTAAGGTCAAGGATGCACACTGCAGAGAAGTCCCATAGTAGGACGAAACGGCCGTCTAGTGATTTCACGTTTTCCATGGTGCTCAAGCTTCAAATGACTAATCATTTCAATTATTGAAATCAATCACTATGTTTGATTAGAAATCTGTTGTACAGTTGATGTCAGTTAAGATTAGTTATCCTTTATTCACTGATGAATTGCTTCAAAGTGTCACTAATTTAGTCAATAATTTTGTGTGGTTGATAAACATTCATAAATTAAAATCAATCATATTTCTATCACAATATGTACTGATGAAATTCAGAGAATGATAAGCTGAACGGAATGTCAACCATGAGTTTACATTAATTGAAGTAAGAAGTAACATTTACTTATTATTTATCAATAGTTCAAAAGTTACTAATGGTTTTTAATAGCATACATCAACTACTTAATTAACAGATAAAGGGTTTTGTGGAGATTTTAGTAATAGTTGAATTTATGAGTTGACTAAAGCTAGATCATCATGGGAAACGTGAAAGCACTAGACAGCTGCTTCATCCTAGCATGGGACTCTTCAGCATTGTGCGCCCACGACCTCATACGCAAACGCTTTACCTAGAACCAGCACCTAGTTGTGTTAATGTCGAGCATCAACCAATCTACGATGTAACGCTACCGTCACCCATTGTCTTCAGTGAGGTGCCGTCTTACAACAGATAAGGTTGAACTCCGCTGGTCACAGCTTCTCACTAGAACTCCAGCAAATACCTTTTGAAGCCATTCCTTAGTGAGCAAATGATGACTTTTATCAGAAAGGGGTTTTCGGAAGATTGGAGTAATTTAATAGTTGATTAAATCTAGACCACCATGGAAAACCTAGAAACACTGAAAAGCTGTTTCATCCCAGTATAGGACTCTTTAGCAGTGTGTATCCACGACCTCGCACTTGAGACTTGAAACCTGGAATTTTAGTCTCACTCACAAACGCTTAACCTTTAAATCACCAAACCAGCATGTTAATATTTAACTTACACGAGCAAGATCATGGATATAAATTATATAATATACCCTTGTGGGCCAGGGTAATTTTACATTGGTTTTCAGGAGAACCAGACACCATCCGGACCTTCACGTGACAACTCAAATAGTACAGCTCAACCCCGTTTAACAGGAGAGCCAGACACCACCGAGACTTAAATTTTATAAACCGAGCAGTACAGTTCGACCTCGTTTGACAGGAGAACTAGACACCGTATAGGCTTTAACGCTACAATCTGAATAGTACAGCTCAATCTTGTGGTGCAACCAAACAGATACCAAGCACCCTGGTGGACCATTCGCACCATTCATATACACATTCACATTACATGTATAATTATTCTAATCAAAAGATCATGGATACTCACTACTAAGTAATCTCATACATGGAACTCATCAATTACATAATCACTCATTACAAATTAAAAGACAAACCTCTAAAAAACTTTTCTTTTCAATTATATCATTATTGATTTGTGAAATTTTTTTATTCTCTTGTATTAACCGTTCATATTCACGTTCAATTAATTTAATTTGATGTAATTCTTCATTAATTTCTTTATCACGTAAATTACATAATGTATTAGTATAGGCTATTTCTTGTTGGACATTTTTCATATGATTTTTTAATTGTTTCACTTTAGATTGTTCAATATCTAATTGATTATTTCGTTGAAATAATTGATTTTGTAATTCTTCAAGCTGTGATTCAAAAAGAAAAGAGAAAAACACAACAACAACAAGATATAAGTCTCCAAGACATTTATCAGAAACTAAAAATTCACTTGATATTGGCATATGTACATCCTGTATGGATTGCTTCGATAATGCATTAAGTCATCAGCTTTATAAGTACAAAAAAATGGATAGTGGCTAGCAGTGGGATTCAGGACGCATGGAGTTGATGTTCACTCCAGGATATAGGTACATCCAGCTGATGAGTTCTAAATAGGATGAAACGCGCGTCAAACTTGATTCTGCTGCTAGACGCTATCAATTTTTGATTATAAAGTTAGCGTTAATAATTGTCTAGGAAAACTCAAAGGACTAGAAAGTATCTTTTTTATTTTAGTCTTTGACAATTGACACTATTGATAAATTTCAGTAGATTTCAAATGATAATGTATATTTAACATAACAGGGCTAGTGGAGTGATTATTTGACTTAAATATTTTAAACCTAAACATTTATATTAACGAAAGGAAGGTGTCACACAATCGTCATATTAGTTCGCAAACATTTCTGTTAAAACTTGGTAGAGCTAAATATGTGTACACCCCATATTTATAATTATCTTGCTGTTATATCCCTATGAGAATAATGAATGATAACTGTTGGAATCTATTTATAAACCAATACGATACGTATAATTGTTAAGTAAATAAACTATCCATATTTGTGTCCCTCTTATTATGAGCTTTGTTTTGACATATGAACTATTATAATACGATTTACTATTCTTGAGTTATACCCAGTCTATCAATTACTATCTCCCACATTCACAGCCACTTTGGGCTAAATCTTGTACAAATGTTGTTTCGTATTTTATTGGTACGATGTAGTCTGTTTTGTTTGTATATAAACCCAGTATGTTTGAAGTAAAGGTTAAGAATGGTGTTTTGGACTTAACAGGCTGGGCTAGTCGGGAAGCAGGACCGATAAAGACTCTAGACTTCTAGTATAGGTTTCATGCGTCATTGGTCCGGTCGATAACTCACTGTTCTCTAACTGGCGGTATCATTACGTTACACAATAATAGGACACAGGGCACAAGTTATAATACTTACTTTATTTGTTAAACATATAGTGGCTAAGTTTAACCATCTCTGATTATCATAATTAAAATTCTACAATTTCGACGTTTTTTGTGGATTTCAATAATGTAATGAGAAGAAGAAGGCATTTAGAATCATGTGATGTGTTTGCGCAATACATTTTGAACAAACTGATCACATAATAAATTTGTTAAGATAGTTTCATATGAAAACTAAAGGGTCAACTAGACAGATTAGCGGTAAGTCGTAACAAATAAAACAAAGTACACACAAAATGTGATAACGGCATATATATTACATAATTCTGATAGCCTTTAGCTTATCATTACATTATCAAAATTTATTAAAGGGACTAATCCTCCTAAATATTCTGTGAGTGTTTAACAACCTACACTTATATTATATATGTACGACATTTTTATGGTTCACTCAAAAAATATGTAATGAATTTAGTAATATCGAAACATTTAACTTGTTGTCACTTACAAACACTTTTGCCTTGAACAGTATTCAGACAGTAAACAAAGATTCAGAATTCCTTATCACTATAAGGAGGCTCATAATTATACAATGGTTAAAACCAACGGATATAGACTCAGGGAAAACGACAAACGTTTTTGAGAGATAAATAGGGTCAACATACATTTTTAAAGGTTTTCGGAAATATGGTACTTGTTTCTTTCTCGTCGTTGCAATAACCTTTAAACTGTATTACAGCTTGAAAAGAAATTAAGGGTATTTCGCACTGTTATACACGATTTGCACCTTCAAGCATTAGAATTGTCATCCATTTTGGCGCCACCATGTTACTTTACATTCCAATACTGCATAACGTTACTAAACGTAAAATCGATTGCAATAATACTAAAGATATTGTTCTGAACTGTCTGTTTCAGCACTCTTTAATCTACACTCTGTATTTTTCCTCAAATGTTTTGCCTATGCGGTAAACAACACAAACCATAAGGAAGACCGAAATGCTGTTTGAATAATCCTTTTCACATCAACAAAGTGCTTGGTGTAATCTACATAAATTTAGAGACTGATACACTGGTTGCATGTCGCTGGGTCCCAGGGAGCAGTAAAAATAAGAACATAACGATGCCAAAACGCCTATTTGCAGAAACCAGGTATAAGATGTACACTACGGCATTTAACTATTTAGAATATCAGGGAATACGGATTACAAACATAGTAACTTAGCTAACAAAGAATCAAAGATGATGGATTTTGAGACAGATGACTAGGATCCCCAAATTTAATTAACATAAATTATATAAACATAACCATCGCTCAGGTTGTGAACAACAAGACTTGGCGAGTGAAACGAAATTATACTATATCACTGTTTCTCACTTTAGTGAGAATGCGAATATACACCTGAAATTCACTAACATATGTAGGACTTCCTACAGCTGCGTTACTTTCTGTGATTATAAGCTTTTTGAAGCTAATGGAAGATTTTGAAACGAAAGTAGTCCTCTCCTCTTGTTAGTATTTTTGTTTACTTTGTGTATTAACTGATAGTCCTAATTTACTGTTTTGCTTATGCCAGTTAATCTAAAGTGGTGATGTAGAGCACTTATTCAAAATAAACATACATCTCCGTTGAACAAGTAATTAAGGCACAATAAATTTTATTTGTCGTGAGAAATGTTTTGTTTTCTTTAGCTAGATAGTGTCCTAGCACTACATTGTTAGCAAGCATTCCTTTGTTTTGTTATCACCTTTATCATATACGCAGTTTCTTTTTAATTAATTCTCAAGCAAATTTTAGCAAAACCACTGCAGTGCATTTTGAGGCAAAAAAATTAGTATGTCGTTGGATAAATATTCATCGATGAACAAAAAAACAACGACATTGGCGTACCTTTATTATGAGCTTTTGGTTTTCTTCATTTGCGACGGGAATGGTGTGTGCTTCATTCCATCCTAATTCAGCAAGAATCGTTGAAATTTGCGACTGATTTGGGGACGGCATTTTTGAATATATTCACATAGATGTTATGACAATTTTACGCTATTGGAGAATTTAAACAAAAAGAGTACATTTCGACTTTATTCACGGTAAGGTATGATCCAGAAGACTATTACGCAAACTAAAGGGTGCAATATACAATAAAGAGCATGAATTACTCAGGATGACTCTATGATCATTTAATTATTACCCGTGACTCAAATTAGGTGACAATAATTATCCCCTGATTCTAATGAAATATTGATCGTATCTTTGGCATCGTGTGTACTTCAAATATTGATCTCGTCAATAAAGCATAGAAGTGATAAGTTGACTACAATCTGTCTGAGTTTTGCTGACAGAGCTAGTACAGTTTGCTATTGATTTAGAATAAGCTCATATGTGCGTTATAATGTACAACTTGCCTTAAACTTAGAAATGAAGGTATTTAGAATATACATAAAGAACTAGATGTTTCTGTAGATAAATGTATAGTTTCTGCTAAAACATGGAAAACCAATTTCAACGAAAGGATTTTCAATGAGTTTAATATTGAACTGTATAATCATATACTTTGCATCTTCAAGAAATGTTTTGACTGCATCATGAGCTTGAAGTACCGTTCATACCTTTCTAGAGAGTTAAGCATCTAAGTTGCACATACATTTCGTTAGATACCCATCTCAGTTTCTCTAGATTGTAATGACCAATAAACATAGATATCCTCAATATAAATCCTTAATGTGGCCGGAAACTAGTCGATAATTGTTTAGATAAACTAAAGGAAACCACAAACGATGTGTTTTGTCTGTTTTCTGCAGACTTTTATCAGTGGAAGGCGTGTTCGGTAGTGAACGGTGTATGTTTTGAGGTGCAGAGATACAGATAAAACACTGAGTCATATTCCAGCTAATACGTCCTCAATAATACCTTAATACAGAAGATAAGCAGGGAATGCTGAACTTTCACTTCATTTTATTCAGAAAAACGATGGTCAATTCAGAAAAATGGATCGACTTGGTGGGACTGAAGCACGCATCAGTTAGACCATAACCTGTTTATATTTTCTTATGTCTGATCTCCGCCCTACAACCCAATAATCACGATTAGTGATGGCCGAATTATCGCTATCAAACCAAGGTAACTGAGTGCTGTCATACATTGAAGGTTATCAGTAACATCGATCGAAGGCGAACATCCATAAGAAGCTTAAGGGTAAGATCGCTCATTACTGTTATTCTTCATATAAATTTATGATATGAAATCCACCATGAAATGTATATTCTAATCATATAGAATACATATATCCCTGTTTATATTAGACTTAGAAAATCGCTCCATAAAGAGTGATGTAGTTCATGGATGTCTCAGCGAGAAAAACTTCGTGAACCGTATGCTTCGATATTCCTGGCTCTTTACGAAAAAACAATGACCGGATGAACTAAGATTCACTAAGTAAATATAGCAAATTTCGAACGTAACAGGACGTGTCAAAACAGGATCATCGAGTTGTGCTTTCTTATTGGCTCATAATGTTTTGAGAAATGAAGAAAGATGTTCGTTCCTGTGTCAGCTAACAGATAGTTAAGTGACTAAAAGAACTTTATCCACTTAGACACTTTTTCCTTCATAGTATCCGCGCGGTCCTAGATGCTCTACCTTCCCTACATCTATACGTACACCCCATTAGACTAGTAAGTTTTATCCATCCTACTTAGTATCTGTAATGTAGCAATGAACCGAAAGACTTAGAGAACAAACTAATATCTGCTCTTCAACCTGAGTGAGCCTAGACTTATCCCCATCCTTGTGAAGGCCGGCTCACATTTCGTGCACTTTGACTACTCCACCTCGATCGTTGTCAGTCGATATTCCTGTACAAAACCTTCATCATAGAATATGATTGTTCAAGAGCAGTTATCCGAAATGCTTATACGTTTAACTAGTCTACGAACATACTTTTGTGGTTATGGAGTGATGTGATGATGAAAAAACCTCAAAATCACCACCTTGTCAGTTTCCGAAGTTAATGTTGAGCTTACTAGATCCACTGGCCAAGGGCCCTCACTCAAGTTTCCATACCTATCACGTTTGGTTCTCCTTGACCATTTAAGTTTCTTTACACTGTGGTTCATCAGTCTTTGAGCAAAATACAAGTTTGCAAAAAGTAACCCCCAACCTTCGATTTTGCTTCTCTATGGATCACTTGGAAAAGAGATATTTCGCTCACTGAAATTTTCAAACCCTGCATGTATGTTCAATGAGTCTCGTATCAGTATGACGTCGGCAACAACATCAGACAAATCAATGTATCCATCAACTAGCAGATAACAAAACATTTACGATTTGTTCGGTTTTCAGTTTAATTTCCAGTCAAACTAATGGGTTTTTACCGTGGTAAAAGCTAATGCAGAACATCTGAAAATATGTATCCATAATTAAGCTGAACCGATGCATTCTGGTTTGGCCGTTCATACGTAAATACACTGTTTTTCTTGGGCGTTACTGCATTCCTCTTTGTCTTGATCAGTGAAGTTACCTCGCCAATATGTTTGAAAATATTAGCAAGGCTAACTCAAATAATTCCTAAGAATCGTCAGCGAGAAAATGGAGGACAAAACGGTTTTTCAAAGTTTCGAGCGATGGTGTGACTGCGATACTTGGAAAGCGTCACCCTTTGTAACTAAAGAACTCATCGCGATTCCCAAACTATAGGTGAGAGACCAATTTCGTGACATAACGAATGCCCCGGTAACTAATGGTTTAGATTGACGACTGTTCTCCATAGGACTTATAAATTAGGCTTATAAAATATCGCATGAGTACCAAATAAAAAATCAGATTTATTCGGCATTCTGGTTCCAGATAGCCTAAGCAAAAGGTCTTCCGAAATGCTCTTAGGCTTGCAAAAAAACTGTAAAATAATTTCAAGGGATAGGGTGCATTCTAAATTATGACTTAGTCGCTTTCTATAAACGTTATCTACATAGTTGTATCTTTTTTCCACTTATTTTATTGGGAACCCATATTTTACATAATGCCTGTGCGTTCAGTTGTTTCTAGCCATATATCACTGACATTATAACTGAAACAGTAGATGAAAGGAGTTTAAATAGTTGTTTATGATTAGATTAGATTGACAACAGTTTAATCATCCTCAGAAATTGCGCTTTGCTTTACTTTTAATTCTAATTTGACAAGTCATTGGTTTTATATTTAGTTAGTCTTCAGAGATAATAGACGAATTATGAAATCAGACTCATTACTATTAAAAAATGCTTGATCATCGAAATGAACCTTTGTTCTATGTTGATGTTTTGTTCTACTGAATGAGAATTTATCTAGATCTTAAGTTCTCTTTTAGTTGATAAATTTTTTCTAAGCCATCATACACTGTTAAGCATTATGGAAGTATCATAATATTATCGCTTTTTTCAGTATGCAGTTATTATATTAGGTTATTTTACAGATACCACAATTACCATCAGCGACAGCCTACTTGAGAAGAGAACAAACCAACTTCCAGCTCAAGAGAGAATTAGGAAAAGACGTTGGAGGTAGATAGGACATATATTATGAAAATCACTAAACTCCATCACGAAGCATGCTGTCCAGAAGGGACACGTAAATGAGAAAGGTTGAAGAACTCACTTCGTTGAAAATTGGAAGCAGATATGAAAAGGATGAATAACAACTGGAAATGTTCGCCGATGACAGTGTTCGTATGATCATGCTGGTATGCGCTCTATGCTCTTCCACAGGTAGTAACAGGCATAAGTAAGCAAATATGTAAGTATACTTAACATTACAAATAGTATTATTCATAGCACAGATTACAACTGGATATCGTCGGAGAAAAAAGCATTGCAAAATTAATACATTTCTTCTAAGATGATCGACTAATATCAATCTTTTAGATGAATACTTGAATTGAAATGACCATTGTATGCCATTCATTTAAAGAAATTGTTATCGTGAACATGACAAGACTATAGATTTTACTTAGATTATTTCTTAATTTCATTCCTAATTTTATGTTCCTTATGAGAATTATGAATGGTAACTGCTAAAATCTATTTCTGGACTAACAATTTGTATATATATTGTCGTATAACACTAAGTGACTAAACTATTTGAGAGGCGAAACCCGACTCACACGTTTTCATCGTGCCTCTTGACTTGTAGGACTCAGTCTCATGAAGTAACGTTAGCGGTAACCCGTGTGGTAGAGATTGGGCTAATCACTCACCCAACCGATACCCACAAACTGATTACGAACCCCACAGCACAATTACGCCTGGATGGAAAAACGACAAAAAAAATTCACAAAAGTGGTGCATTTCATTTACGGGGTTGTTCCCTACAAGACAAACTCCAACAGAGTGCAAAAACAGTACTTGTGTCGTGTTTCTATCCAGAAGGGTCTACTAGTCTTCCCCAACTTGTTTAACTGAAAAAGACAATTAAACTATTCATATTTGTGTTCCTCTCATCATTATTTTGATTTATAGACTATTATTATACAATTTACCGTTCTTGATTTATGCCCAGTCTATTAGTTACAGTCTCTCACATTCACACACACTTTTAGTTAGTTCTTGTACAAATGTTGCTTTCTATTTTATGGTATGATGTGTTTTGTTTGGCTAGTATATAAACCTAGTATGTTTGAAACATATGATTCATATCGCAGATCCTGAGATCAGTACTCTGTATTCCGACAGGCTAAGTAAGACAGGAAACGGGACCGGTAAAGACTCTAGACTGCTCTTATGGGTTTTATGCATCATTGATCCAGTCGATAATTCACTGTATCACTAACTGGTGATATCATTACGTTTATATTATTGATAAGGGTATAAACTCACAAGTTATAACATCTTCGAAATAAATTGCAAAAAAACAAAAAAACAAAAAAATTGAATGTGAATTCATTGACTTACTTTTAAGCATATAAGAATAACAACTTACACACACACACACACACTCAAAGTATCACATTAACATTCTTACACATGAACATATTGCAAAACAGGCACTGAAATAACAAAAAAACAAGTCACTATTACATAATATCTATGAGCGTATTTATCTTCAAATGATCCTAATAAGCATATAAAGAAGATCTGATCTTTTTTCTGTTTTTTTTGGCTGGAACCTATTAAATGGATCATTTCAATCAATCAATCAACCAATCAACCAACCAATCAATCAATCAGTCAGTCAATCAATCGATCGATCAATCAATCAATCAAATGAACCATAATAAATGATAAGCGAAACAAACGAAACAGAATTTTCAATTGAATAATCTTATGAAGTAAACAACAAGCAAAAAAAAGCAAAAAAATAAGAAAAAACAATCACAACAACAACAGCATAAAGTCTTTATAAGTTAGCATCATCATTCATTTAATCAACAACACAAAGTCAATAAAGAAGAAATTGCAAAAACAAAACAAAAACAAGAATCCAAGTTCATTACTTATTAGAAAATAATACCATACTGTTTTTTTTACAATATTAAAATGGCGCTCGAAAAAATAACAAAAAAACAGAAGTCGATTTAAAGAATTATGTAATAGTTATTTGTTGTTGGGGGTGGTGGTTTTGTTGTTGTTGTTGTTGGGGGTGGTGGTGGTTTTGTTGTTGTTGGTGGTGTTGTTGTTGTTGCTCTAATTTTTCAGGAAATCCACCCCATTTTACACCAATATATGGTATTTCAGATGACATAATACGTGGTGGTGCTTCAATTAAATATGTATAAACTAATGGTAATGATTGTGGTAATTCATTATTATTAATTGGTATTGCATATATATATAATTTATAATAATGATCACCTTTTGGTATACGAATAAAATAGGTTAAATGTTCATTTATATTTGGTTCGTCAATTTCATCCCATTGTTGTAAAAGATAATTTGTACAATCCTAAATAATAATAAAAATGATAATAATAATAATTGATTGATTCATTGTAGATTATTATCAGAAGGGGTTTATGGAGATTTTAGAAATTTCAAAGATTGAAATCATGAGTCAATTGAAGCTGGACCACCATCAAAAACCTAGAAGCACTAGACGTCCGTTTCGTCTCACCGTGGGACTTTTCAGCAGTGCGCGTTCACAATCCCGCACCCCGCAAGATTCGAACCCGGGACCTATCAGTCTCGCGTCAGGCGCTTAACCAACTAATAATTGAATTCATAAGTCAATTGAAGCTAGACCACCATGGAAAATGGCTCAGTAGTCTAGAGGTTAAGCGCTGGCGTGCGAGACTGATAGGTCCTGCGTTGAGTAGGAGGCCGATACTAGAACGAAACGGCCGTACAGTGCTTCCAGGTTTTCCATGGTGATCTAGCTTGAATTGACTCATGATTTCAATCATTTTAGATTAGTTAAGACACTCAACTGTGTCATGAGAGCAACCCTCATTTGCGATCCTCAAGATTAAATGAGGAGAAGAGGAAGACCAAAGAATATATAACACCCGAAAAATCGAGACAGACATGAGAAGAATGAGCATGAATTGGATAGAACTAGAAAGGAAGGTTTAGGATAGAATGCGTTGTAGAATACTGGTCGGCGGTTTTGCTCTATTGGGAGTAACAGGTGTAAGTAAGTAAAAAAGATTAGTTAATAATTCAGTCTATTTTAAAGCCTCTTATCAGTATAAAAAAAGGGCTTAGGATTACAAACATTAGTATAATGAACACCGTTGGATGTAGTTTAGAGATTAAGCGTTCGAGCCCGAGACCGATAAGTTCTGAGTTGGAATCCCGCTGGTGGAATTGTGAATGCGCACTTTTGATGAATCTTACAATAGGGCGAAGTATCTGTCTAGTGATTTTAAGTTTCCAATAATGGTCTAACATTAATCGGATCATGATGTCAATCTAAAAATGAAAAGTTAATGTAATTTATTAAGTGAATTCAATACGAATGTTTGAAAGATATCTGTAAAGATGTTCCACAGATGAACTCAAGGAAGCTTTAATAAGCTCAGGAAAAGCTAAAAACTTTACATTCAGTCAATTTTTTTCTGGAAGAATATTCCGAAATCTCGACGTAAAGCTTCTTTATAAGACAAATGCTAATAGCTCTCTGTATGCAAATCGGATGACTATAATGATAATTTCATATTTACCAAGAAATATAAATACCTGACAGTTCTATACCATAAATGACACTGTTTGGAATGACATTCCTTCTCATTTATCTTCTATCTTTTCATTTACAGCTTAAAAAGTTCTAGTATTCCAATGCTCATGTTGTACGCGGTATATGAAGAATCTAAGCCCTAGATATAATGATATCATATTGAATAGAGTTTAAACTGATGTTCATGGATGTGTTGAAATAAAAGGGCGATGGGTACAATAAGAATGGATATTGACTAAGTATACAACTTTGGAGAGGTAATTACAATCAATTATCTCACTAATAACTTGTATGTATACTGACTTACTATATAATCTGTAGCTAACATCATTATGAATCAATCGATTATTGTATTTTATCATTGATGTTAGTAGTGAGACTATAATTTATGAACGAATTAATCAGATTTTAGATAATGAGTCTTGGATTTGAGCACGAAATTCACTCATTCATTCATCCAAATAGCATCTTGGCATTTTTAACTGTTAGGATGTGCAGAAAAATATACCAATAGTTATCATGTTAAGTCTAATGTTGGCCTTGGACGCTAAATGTACATTCCCTATTGGTTGATATTTACTTCACTTGTTTAATATTATGTAAATGTTGTTTTCTATTTTTATGGTACGATGTGGTCTGCTTGGTTAGTATATAAACAGAGTGTGTTTGATTCATATCTCAGAGACTGTGACTTTCGTTCTGGACTCAACTGGCTGGGATAGACATGGAAGCAGAGCCAATCGGGACACTAAATCGTCCGTACGTGTTTACGTGTCACTGTAACCGATCAATAAGACGCTGCTCCATCTAACCTACAGTCACCCGTTACAACATTAACTGATGTCAATTTGTGATGAAAACCATAAATCTAATTTTTAACCTTAACCATCAACTGTAAATCATTGTTTTTATTCTTTTAACTGTTTTATAATCTTTATTTAGGTTTATCAAATAGGTAGACATTGTCAAAGTCGATTTAGCATCGCTCGAAAGTTATCCATACATTGTAGTATCATAATGTTAGTAAATATATCGCTTTATATGAATAGTAAGTTTCATGCTTTATGTTCTTTCCAACACATAATTGAAAATCAATTTTTGAAGAGTTCTATAGTAGGACAAAACAGTCATTCAACACTTCCAGGCTTTTAATAGCGGTCTAATGTCAATGGATTCCTGAACTCAGTAAAACAAAATTGAAATTGATTTAATATAGTATCTTTCATCTCCTTATATTCAATATGATTTTCTGATCCCATTCGTACACCCATATTGAATTCATTTAATAAATTAGATCAGTTCTATGTTTCTAATTATATATAGCTGTTTTCAGCTAATGGGAAGACTTGAAATAGAGTGAATTTATTTTATAGTTGAATTTATGAGTTGATTAAAGCTAGACAACTATGGAAAACGTGGATTCATTGAACGGCCGTTTCGTCCAAGTATGGGACTCTTCAATTATCCCAGTGATCAGTAAGTGCAGCTTACTGTATTTACTTCTCTTAAGCTTATGTTCACTTGTTATTATGAGGTTTACTAAACTAGAAGTGATTTTCTAAATAATACTATTGGTACAAACTTATAATGATTTATCCATCTAAAACTAACAGCCTACTCTATGAACCTCAAATTTCATTAGTTCGTCCTGACGCTTGTTCTATTACCGTCTGTGTAATTCTCCCTTCTACAACTGGGTTGTTGGTTCGAGAACCTAGTTTCTGCTTAAAAAAACAGGCACATGAACCGAAAAAAAATGACAACACTTACCTCTTCCTCTGGTGTACTTATATCTACAAACTGTCCAACGACATAAAGTTTTTGTTGAGATTCTTTGGAAATTCTTATTTTCAAATCACAACTACGTGGATCTTGTACTTCATCATGTATTTCATTTGTTTGATCTGGTGATGTTGTAGGAACTATTAATGAATCATTTGTAGATACACCATTCATAATTTTATCTCCTTGACTCATATACTGACTCATAATTTCTGATTTACTTCTAGTTTTTTGTAATTCAATAGAACCAGCTGTTGGAACATGAATTAAAGGATCATCATGACTAAGTAATTTTAAACCTAATGTAGACCATGTTTCATCTTGAGGACCTAGATTCATTGTAGCTAAACGTTTTCTAACTGGAGTAGATAATCGAACTCCATATTCAGAATTTATTAAAAACTGCCAAACCTGTAAGATTATTTAAAGAAAAAAGTAGAAATTATATGAAATAGTAAACGATAAGTGGAGTTATAATGACATTTCAAATCATGGGGAGCAATTGTGAAGATTAATATACCTACTAACTTTTGTTGTATATTTTATACTACTTATAAGTAGTTCAAAACTATGATTGACTGAAACGCAATTATGGAAAGTGGAATTCAACAACACCGAAATACTGGTCTTTTAAGTACTATAACGTATTGGTTAAACTACATTATGTAGACATTATGTCGACTACTACAAGTTAACAAATATTCTGAAAAAAGCAGAGAACAAATGGTAAGTTACTAGTTGTATCACTTAAGAATACATCCTACAAAAACCATCAGTTCTTTCAATAATAAAGAAGATTGGTAGCTTAGAGATAACTAAATACTGCCCATCTAAACTATTCAACTAAAAAAATGCCATATGTATTTGGAGTTTGACAACACCTCAACTATTAACATCTTCTATAATGGAAATGTGTCAACCCAGTGAAATTAAAAGTTAGAAGCGAAGGAATTCAAAGATATATTGAGATAGACTAGTGGTATACTGAGAAGTGATTGATCTAAGCTAGCTAGCGGTTGCAAGAGTAATTAAGCACAGTTCCCTCACTCGTGGATGAATGACCGAGCGCATTCAGCTAGGTGAGTCCATTAAAACAAATGTGATAAGCACCAAATGTTGAAGATTTACAGATCTATTGATTTTAGGGATTTGTTTACCGTTACAAATGAAACCGACATACAAATCTGTTAACAGATTTGTTATAAATACAATGTATATACTTTCAATATTCTTAATCAAAGATGGATAATGGCTAGCAGTGGAATTCAGGACCCGCGTTTCGTTCTATTTGACATAAAACTTCTGTCCCACACTGACCTGTCACATCCACTATTCTTTGCTTTGATTATATATATATATATATATATATATATATATATATATATATATATATATATATATATATATATATATATATATATAAGTAAAACAAACCCAACCGTCGTTGCTACCTTGACATGGTGGTCGCGCTTGCCTACCGTGATGAAGCAACAGAGCTATACTGGCTAGAACAATCGTTCCTCAAGGTTCCACAATGCCAGACAGTTAAGTTCAAGAGCGGTAAGACTAAAAGCAACAAACCCAAGGATCGAAGGCGAAGTCGCACTGCTGGCTTTACAAAGATGGGAAGGCAGTAAGTTGTTTCCTTCAGACAACCAGTATGACAGCGACGCTTCCTTCCCACAAGGAAGGGTGAGGTTAAAAAAGGTCGACCCTAAAAATGTACAGCTCGCCTTATCTCACGGATATTCGTCTCCGGCGGTAACATCTCAACAAGTACGGAGCTTGTTATATCCGAGCGAAGACTTAATCACGAGTAACTTCTGAGACATATTAATGGACTAATATTATCTATATATTCTTGTGGTATAAATATTCAGTAACTAGATAATGTATATCTACATTCCCCTTGTTATAAACTTTATTTTGACCTGTATTTTATTATTGTGCGGTTTACTGTTCTTAAACTATGTTGAGTTTATTGACTACTGTCTCCCACGTTCACAGCCACATTTGGTCAAATCTTTTACAAAAGTTATTTCTTATTTTATGATGAGTTGTGGCTCGTTTGGTTGATATATAAACCCAGTATGTCTGAAATAAATGAGTGAATTCGATTCGCATATCGGAAGCTGGTATTCGTGTTCTGGACTCAAGTGGACGGGGTAGCCGGACATAGGACCAATAAGGACGCCAGGCTGCTCATACCGGTCGAACGTCATTGGTTTGGTACAGTGCTAAGATTGTATAAGTCGTATTTCGATTGGTGGATAAATCACGTGATAACTAGCCGGACATAAAGTCATAACAGAGCCTACACGACAATTACTCATTAAAAGGTCGTGTGTGACCAACCTCAAGCAGTTGTCCTTTGTGAACTGCGGTCACGCTCTCAGGTCACTAAGACCACCTCTAATCCAATATCCTTTTCAGGTACCTCCAGAAGAACCATTCCACGGTGTGGGCGACCGGGAAGTGATAACCGCCCTCATACCTCTAACAACACTCAAGACCACTGAGTAAAAAAAAATTAACTGGATAACTCTTTCTTACTAATTTGGAACGTCTCATTAATGACACATTAAGACTACTATACAGTTAAATAAATCACAAATGAATACTTAAATAATCTTACCAAGAAATATGAAGTATTCTCATCTGAATCAGCTGGTGCACCATAAACCTCTAATGCATATTCACCACCTGTTGGTAAATATGCTGTCAATATTATCATATTAATACGTGATCCTTGTATAGTTTGTGTACCAGATAAACGATTTGTTGCAGAAATTAAACTACCCGGTGATGTTGCTTCAATATTACGCAATAGTATGCAATCAGTAAGCATTGATGTTTCATGAATTGATGATTTTAAACGTGCAGTTAAACGTGGAAGCTTGCGTTGCTGAAAGCAATGAACAGGGGAAAGAATGATGAAAGTATAACATATTAAAACGTCAAACTTTTCAGATTTTTATCAGAAGGGGTTACGTGGATATTATAGTCATTTAAATAGTTGGAATCATGAGTCAATTGAAGCTAGATCACCTGAAAGCACTGGAAGGCCCTTTAGTTCTACTGTAAGACTCATCAGCAGTTCACATTCACGATCGCGCGCGAGACTGATAGGTCCTGGACTCGAACCTCGCGAGGCGGGATTGTGGATGGGCACTATTAAGAAGTCCCACAGTAGGATGAAACTATCGTCTACTGCTTCCAGGTTTTCCATGGTGATCTAGCTTCAATTGACTCATGATTTCAACTATTAAAATCTTTAGATTTTTATCAAAACTCTAGTATAAAGTGTTTTGTTTAACACAGAACAAAACGGTAGTAGAAAACATTGTTCCCTTATCAAATAACTATGACGCTCGAATCCCGAATAAACCATAAGAAGAAAATATGACAGACAATCTACATTCATAGTTGAGTTAACTGAGTACAAAAATAAATGGTTATTTTTATTGATTAAAAATGACATGTTACCAAACATAATGGAACGGTAGACGGATACCGCTACAGAGCTTCACACTAGAGAACTATGGCTGTCTAGTGTTCCCTGATGTACAACCGGTGTATAGTTAAAATAATTCTATGATAGAAACCACACAATAAAACAATCCTTTCCCTATACTAATAAGAAAGGTATAATTAATTAATATCAGAAAATGGTTTTTGTAGATATTATAGTAATCTAATAGTTGAATTCATGAGTCAATTGAAGCTAGATCACCATGGAAAACCTAGAAGTACTGGAATATCATTTCATCCTGATATAGGACTCCTCAACAGTGCGCATTTACAATCCTGCTCACAGGAATCGAATCTAGGACCTATCGGTTTTATGCGTGAACGTTTAACCTTCAGATCACTGAGCCATCTAACCTCAAACAATCCACGAAATTGTGCCATCCTGTAGAAGTTAGGCGTTCGCTCGTGAGAAAGATAGGTAATGGGTTTAAATCTGATGAGGCGGGATCGTGAATGCGCCCTGCTCAATAGGTAGAATTGACCATCCAGTGCTCCCAAGTTTTCCATGTTGGTCTAACTTCAATTGACTTATGAATTCAACTATTAAATTGATTAAAAACAGAATTAATAAAATACTAACAACAACAACAACAATGACTGATATTACTTACTGGATCTTTAGTTGTAAATTTAATTTCTAATATTCCAGTATGACAATTTAAGTGAGTTTCTAAATCTTCTGGTATAGTAATAATATCTAATTCATTAGCTTTTTCAGCTGGACCATAATGTCCTTGTGATGTTGGAGGAAATGGTAGAATTGTAAGAGCTGGTTTTGAAGTACCATTATTATTATTATTACTAGTAGTAGTAGTAGTATCTATAACAACCGGTTCTGTTTGTTGTAAATCGGTACTCATTTTTGATTCTACACGATATTCACATATATCTGCAAATAACTAATGTTTATAAGAATAAATCAATTAATTGATCAAGGGCTGTAAGTGTTAATAACCTACAATATTTAATTAACGAACTATTTAAGTAATAATCATTTACTTACTAGTGACTAGCCCTCATGCCCTGTTAATATCGATGGTAGGAAGAATACGCACTCTCCCCCCTTTCTTTCTCTCTCTCTCTCTCGAAATATTCTCACAGACCATGCGTTAACAGCCACTGACAGAGAAACCCTACTCGCTGCCATCTCACAGTGGGGGTGTAATCTACTGTTTAATCGGGTTGGTGGATATGGAGGATCCATCTAGGGCAGTTCGAAAACCCTCATTCCAAAGTAATGGTGCACATGGGATTCAGGATCCTGAGGAAACAAGGGGCTCATTAACCTATTGTTAGTCACCGGTTACCATGAGATTGAATCTTTTGACGTTGCTCCATTTCCTTGTAGATCAGACCATTAGATCGAAGGCTCCAAGTGTATCCCCCTAAGAAAACCACTTAATTCGGTTTGGGCACCTGAGCAGTACCACAGCTCACATATATGTATTCAGTGCCCCTTTGTACTAACTTGCCGTAAAACTAATGAAAAACTGTAATCAATACAGTCAACTAGGTTAATAAAATGATAGATACCATCTATGACATTGATTAGGTATCAATTCATTACAAAAAATTGAATGTCAACAAGACTTATCACAATACGAACGTCAAGACAGTTCTACTGTACGGAGCTGAAACTTGGAGAGCTACAACAACTATCGCCGAGAAGATACAAGTATTTATAAACAATTATCTATGCAAGATGCTCAATATTCGTTTACTGGATACCATTAGCAACAACCTACTGTGGGATAACGAAGAAACCAGCTTCGAGATGAAGAGGAAATTAACAAAAGATGTTTTAGGTGGATAGGACAAATAATATAGAAATCAACAAACTGTATCAAGAGGCAAGCGCTAACTTCGAATCTTGACTGGAAATAGAAAAGAGAAAGGCCAAATAACACACTACGTTGTTAATTGGAAGCAGACATGAAAAGAATACATAACAACTGGAAAGAACTGGGAAGAAATACCCAGGACAATGTTGGATAGAGAATGCTGATGGGTGGTCTATGCTCCTCCATCAATGGTAACAGTCGTAAGTAAGTAAAGTATGTTTGATTTTTGCTAAATAATACATAGATATAGATTTCTATTCACAATTTTTTTTTCAAGCTTACCTTTTCACCAATACGTTGTGCATATAAAGTAAGCTTATAACCACCAGGTTTTGGAAAACGAAAATGAAATGTAACCGTTGCATCACGTCTTGATAATTCATGTATTCCAAATTGACTTAGATTTGGTAACTTTATTGAAAGTATAAAAAGAAAAACAAGTTAAAATAATTTATAACAAGAGGAAGAGATCGATACGAACTTAAGTAACTGTTATAACATGGGGTTTTGTATCCATGGTTCTTTGTTTTTCACCACGTCACCAATTGTTATCACATGTGACCTGTATACCCTGTTAATGCATAACGTATTAGAAAAGTGGAAGCATCTCTATACTGGTCATTACCATGTTCTCACTAGTAACTAACTCTGAAAAGATATTTACTGAGTTTCAATGGAAAGTATTGACCAATAGATTTCAGCCGTGTTGTGCGCGAGGCACTCACCGAAGACAATGAGAGATGGTTACGTAATGTTGCGAATTGACTGAGGTTGAACATGTACACTACCGGATAGAGGCTCATTAGTCTAAACGTTAAGGTATCGTAGCAATATCTAAAGGCCTTAGGTTTGATCCCTGGTGAAGTCGTGGAAGCGCATTACCCAGGAGATGAAACCGCTATCAAGTACTCCCTGATTTGCAATGGTTGTCTAACTTTGATTTATGATCAACAATCTCCACAGACCTCCATATAGATAGTTAAATGCCGATAAGATTACTATCTGCAGTTTGCTTGAATCAATTTAGATGATATTGAAGTAAATCGATATGCAATCAAGTCAAATGTTTCTTTTTCAATTTAAGCCATGTGTATACACTGTTTATCTTCGCTTAAACTATGAGATTAAAATCGCCTCATATCTATCCTTCCACGAACTAATTCTTTCTTCCTGTACCATATCCTTATATGCAAACTTTTGTTTATATATTACTATCATTGCATTAACTACTTCTATGAATCTGATGTTCATCTTGTTGTGCTAATGAGGTATCACAAGTTTGACCGATGTGTATATGTGCATGGTCCGATTGAACGATTGACTGACATGCATAAAGCATCACCTGTAGAAGTGTTAATAAAGAAGCAACCCCTTATACAAGGAAAGAATATAAATAAATATGTGTAAATGAATAAACACATGTTCTTACATCCAGATTATCATCCTTCCCTTCATATTTTAAATTGAATGTAAATTTCAATGTATCTGTTAAAGTCTTTGGCATGGATAATTTTATAACAAGTTTATTTGGTGCAAGTATAACACAATCTTGATGTGATAGCAATCCAAGACCATGACGGAAGAAAGCTGGTTTCAATAGAACACTGTTTTCAAATTCCTAGATTAAAAAAAAAACACACACAAAACATTTGACGTCTTTGGATATAAACTACTAAAACAGTATTTCAGTAGTTTAAAAATGCAAAACAATATTACAAATTGGTGAGTGTCGAATTATGTAATATGAAGAAAGATTCACCCGATTGCACAAGCAAATGGCTATCAGAACTCTGTAGCTAAGCGGTAGCGTTTAAAGCGACTGGTACTGTGTTCGAGCCCCAGAATGAATATCAACCCTGTGATTCAGGTACGTCCAGTTAAGGAGTACAATAATAGGACGAAACGCGTTTTGTCCTGGATTCCACAGCTGAACACTATCCATCTTCGCTTACAAAGCTTATGATTTAAGACGATATCAAGGCAATCCGCACAGGATGCACATATGCCAATAAGAGACTAATTAATTGTAGATACAAGCAAACAACACTAAGTGAACTGTAACAAAGTTTGTTCACACTTACATTTCTTTCAACTATCTTCATTATTATGATGCATAAAGAAACATGCCCACAGATGCATATAAGATATTTGAAAGTAGTGACAAGGAGTTTCACACTTTCATCTTTCGTTGCTTTCACAGTTACTTTATAAATGGATGGAAGATTAACAAAAAAGATATGCGACCTATGACGCAAATGAACGAACGATTCTTTCATTTAGAATATTCCTTTATTTGTGTACCTTGGTCTACGAAAAATTATTTTATCAAATATTTTAATAGTTAAATATATGAGTCAATGTGACTTAGATCACTATTAAAAACCTGGAAGCATTGAACGGTTGTTTCGTCCTAATTTAGGACTCATCCACAGTGCACATCTACGTTCCCGCTCGTGGGATTCGTACTCAGAATCTTAGGTCTCACGAGCAAATGCTTTACCTCTAAACAATCGTTTAATACTTCCAGGTTTTCTTTGGTGGTTAAGCTTTAATCGACTCATGAATGCAACTAGTAAAACGTACTACAATCTCTACAAAACTCATTCTCTGAGGATAAAACAAATTTGTTATATCGTCTATGTTTTCGTACAACCAATAGGTCAATGAAACTCATACTTTCTTCATATAATAATGAAAAGCTCGATTTTGTTATTTAATACATGGTGAGATTACAATGAGCGATGCTAGACTGACCTTAAGAGTGTCCACTTAATAACTAGGATCAAATGACGTCTATATAGTTGATGATTAGATTTAAGAGTGAAAGTTAGGGTTTTCATCATGAACCGACACATTAACTATAATGTCAAAACTATTTATTCAAATGGATGAATGAATTTCGCGCCAAAATCCAAGTCCGATTATCTTATACCTGATTGGTTCGTCTTTAAATTATAGTCTGACCTAACGCATTATATAGTAAATCAAATCCAAGATGTATATTTTTGGGGCATGTCAATTGAATACATCTTGTCAATCTTCAGTACTATTAGAGGTATGAAGGTGATTAACTGTCAAACTGAATACATCTGAATTCCAGTGTTTTTTTATATTCACTGTATTCTCAATCATCTTAATTCATCTATGTGTATGTTGAATAGATTTTGTTCAAACAAGAATAAAGAAAGCAAACAATAGAATCATTCAAATGATTATGAATAAAAACTAAAGTTTAACATGATAGTTTGATTGAAATCAGTTTTTTTTGGAATACGAAACTGTAATCAATTTTAAGTATATTTTTTACTTAAAAGGAAAAAGAAAAGAAAAGAGAAAAGCATAGAGAAAAGTAGAAAAGAAAGAAAAAAAGAGAAATGCATAGGAAAGAAAAAAGAAGGGCAAAAGGGTAGAAAAGAAAGGAAAAAGAACAGAAAAGAGAAAAGAAAAAGAGTAGAAAAGAAAGAAAAACGGATAGAAAAAAGTGGAAAAGAAAGGAGAAAGAAAAGAAAAAGAAATAGAATAGAAAGGGCAGAAAACAAGGACAAAAGAATTGAAAAGAAAAGAATAAAGAAAAGAAAAGAGAAAAGAGTAAAAAAGAAAAGAATAAAGAAAAAGAGCAAAAAAGTGAAGAGAAAACAAAAGAGAGAGGGAAAAGAAAAGAAAAACGAATAGAAAAGAAAAAGGGTCGAAGAGAAAAGAGAAATCAGAAAAGAAAAGAAAGTAAAAAAGAAAGAAAAAGCGCAGAAAAGAGAAGAGAAAACAAAAGAGAGAGGGAAAAGAAAAGAAAAACGAATAGAAAAGGAAAAGGTTCGAAGAGAAAAGAGGAAACAGAAAAGGAAAGAAAGAAAAGGAAAACGAAAAAAAAGACACATACTTACTTTTAATGTAACTGGTGGTTTTAACATTTGCCAATTTTCATCAAATGGAAAATGTGAATAAATAAATTTAGCTGGATCAACATTAAAATAAAACATATCAGTTTCATAATCCATTTGACCAGTTTGTACTAATTGAGATAAACGTGTATTAGCACTAACAGCTAAACGTTGCGCTGCCCACATTGGATCAAATAATGCCCATTTATTATCTATATAAGCAGCATTCCATGCATGTTGTAATCGATGCATAATTGATGATGACGATGATGATGCTGCTGATGATGATGATTGTTGTTGTTGTAATTGATCATTTATATCAGTTAAACGCATACCAACTACATAATCAACACCTTTAGCTAAACCTTTCACTGTTACACATGGTATATTTGAATAATGACATAATGATTCAAAAGCCTTTCAAAAGAAGAACAAGAAGAAGTAAATAAATGATTATTTAATTAAATAAATTGTACTCATTAAAACAAATTATGTATACATGGTGATATTATAATGTGTGCTACTGCCCCCAAATACCCTGGTACGGCCTAGAGTGGGGAGAGTTCGCTCTCCCACTCCAAATGTTCTCATACGGCCACTACCAGGGAAGTCCTACTCATTGCCTTCTCGCACCACAGGTATTGTTTACGAAATTGAGGGGACGAAAAGCGAATGTCCAACGCTTTAACCGGGTTGGTGGACATGGAGGGTCCACCTAAGGGAGTTGCAAAACCCTGATTCCAAACCAATGGTGTAAATGAGGTCTAGTGTCCTAAAGGAACAAATGGCGTATGAACCAATCGTTGGTCACCGGCTACCACGGACTGCATCTCCTCACGATGCTCCACTGCCTTGTGGATCAGACCTTCAGGTCAAAGGCTTCGGGTGTGACCTTCCTAAGAAAACCACCTGCTTCGGTTTGAGCACCCGGGCAGTATCACAGCCCCCACCCATATCAAATGAGATTTGTGTAACGCATATCTATTTGGTGCTCCTTGTACCAATATCTTTGTGTTAAATTAAATAAATAATGAATAGTATATATCATCATTCGTAAGTGAAATGCTTGAAAGTAGAAGGTTAAGAAGATCAAAGAGAAGAGAATGATAACAAAAAAACGGAGTGAGTGGTGTGGAACTGAAAGAACAATGAAGTCTGAGATAATTGATTGATATTTTTTTGCAAATGAAGTACTTACTGTATCATTCTCAGATTTGAATATATTCAAATACATTCGATTGTCTCTACTTGTATTCTTCTTCACTACAACATAATCTCTATGGATTAACATATATTGTGTTTTGACATTCTAACTTAATCATTATCGTGTTCCTATGACCTGAACCGTTCAACTTTTTGAAGACAGGAAACTAAGACTATATGAAAAGCCTTAATTTCAGAAGCCAAATGATTATCCTTTATTTATTATTATTTTATTTTAATACATAGATATTAGTACAAGGAAGCACCAAATACATATGCGCCACACAAATCTAATTTGATAGGTGTGACAGTGCCCAAACCGAAACAGGTGGTTTTCTTAGGAGGGCCACACCCGGAGCATTCGACCTGAAGGTCTGATCCACAAGGCAGTGGAGCATCATGAGGAGATGCAGTTCCATGATAGCCGGTGACCAACGATTGTTTCATATGCCATTTGTTCCTTCAGGAGCCAGCCCATGTACACCATTGTTTTGGAATCAGGATTTTCCAACTCTCCTAGGCGGACCCTCCATATCCATGTGCGCCGGATATTCACTTTTCGTCCTCTCGATTTCATAAACAACACCCTCGTCTAGAGAGAAGGCATTGAGTAGGACTTCCCTGGCATGTGAGAGCATTTGGAGGGGGAGAGTGGACTCTCTCCACTCTCGGTCGTACCAGGGCATTTGAAGGCACTGTGAATTTAGAAAAAAATAAAAATAAAAATCACTTACTTGAAGATATGTTGCTTTACCATAAGACATTTCATTTAATATAAATTCTGGTGAATCTAATTTTAATTGTTTTGTTTTATTATTTAATGCTTCTTTAGCATATTGAATATTATCTTGTTCAGCTTGTTTTAATTCATCATATGTTAAAAATGGTAATTTACCAATTGGTATTGAACATAACCATGAAAATAATGCTTTAATTATTAATTCATTATTAGATAAATGACGTTTACCAATTAATGACCAATATAAATCTTTCCATGTTGCTGGTTTGATATAACTTCTAGCTAATTCACATGCTATATGATCAATAGGTTGAGTAATATAATTATCATCTAACATTGATTGATTAATCATTAATTGTTTAGTAAATGTAGTTGGATCTAAATTAGGTTTAATTAAATTGGTTGTAGATGATATAGATAATGGTTTAGGTAATTCATAATTAGATGGTGCTGGTTCTAATATAGATATATGAGAACGTAATTTAATTGTTTCATTATCATTAGGTATAATATGATGATTGATTGATTCGTCAATGGTTATAGGAGGTTCTGATTTATCTAAGTATAAAATATTAAAGAAAAAGAAAATGTAAAAGATGAAGTCCTGAAGATGTTCTTGGACATTATTGTAAGAATATATAATAACAAAAAAAAAAGGTTAAATAGATGGATTTGACGGTGAATCATAGAAGTATGTAGATCTATAGTTCATTGTATTGCTTGATCTAAACAAGTAAGAGTATGATTCAATCTTGTAGATTAGCTTAATGAATGAACACAATATTGACACTAACCACATATGAAATTAAACTACTAATTGTTCTTCAATCGAAGATAATTGACAACCGGGGACTTACTTACTTACTTACTCACTTACTTACCTACCTACCTACTTACTTACTTACTTACTTACTTACTTACTTACTTACTTACTTACTTACTTACTTACTTACTTACTTACTTACTTACTTACTTACTTACTTACTTACTTACTTACTTACTTACTTACTTACTTACTTACTTACTTACTTACTTACTTACTTACTTACTTACGCCTGTTACTTCTCGTAGAGGAGTATCGGCCACCCACCAAGCACTATCCATCCAATTCTATCATGAGCAATCCTTTACGGTTCTTTCCTGTTGTTATTCATTCTATTCATATCTACTTCTATTTCCCAACGTAATGTGTATTTTGGCCTTCCACTTTTCCACTTTTCTTCAGGATTTCAAGTTTTGGCTTGCCTCGTGATGCAGTTTGGTGATTTTCATAATGTATGTTCTATCCACTTTCAATGTCGTTTCCTAATTTCCTTTTCAGTTCGAAGTTAAATTTGTCATCTCCCACGGTAGGCTGTTGCCGATGGTATCCAGCCAATAGATGTTGGGTGTCTTGAGCAGACAATTATTTATTTCGTGGATTATTTGAAGTTAGACATTAACACCATTGGATGCCGCCTCAGTGGTCTAGTTGGTTAAGCGCACGGCGCGAGACTGGTAGGCCCTGTGTCCGAATCTCGCGGGGTGTGGGATCGCGGGTGCGCACTGCTGAGGATTCCCACACTGGGACGAAACGGCCTTCCAGTGCTTCCAGATCTTCCATGGTGGTCTAGCGTCAACCGACTCATGATCTTAACCATTGAAATTATTTTAATATCCACAAACCCCTTCTGATGGGTTTTTTGATGATGATTGTAGTAGTTCTCCAAGTTTCAGATTCTTACAGTAGATCTGTCTTGATGTTCGTATTGAATATAGTGACTTTGATATTGGTTGAAAGTTGTTTTGAGTTCTATATGTTGTTCAAGTATAAGAATGCTGTCTATGCTTTTCCAATCCTTGCCTTTATGTCTGCGACTACCGCGGAGCGCTAGGAAAATTCTTCTTTCCAGTATGAAGTTCCACAGTAGTGCAGATGTAAATCCGCACTAGAGAACCGATTCAACACCTTTTGCTCTCATGTTGAGTACTTAAACTTCTGACCAATGATTAGGCATACATTCTTTCACGTTCTTATTTTTTTGTCAATTTGTGGCATTTTTCTATAGGGTATCGTGATCCTCAGTAGTTGCATAAACAGAATCAATCCATGAATTTGAACAATAAACTCAACAATTTCTACAAACTGTTCATATTGAGATCTGTTTTTATCCAAATTATTTACTTAGTTAAGCTGTAGAGAACCATAGTCAAACTGATAATCATCAGTAAAAGGTTATGGAGATCGTTCAGTTTTTGATTGAGATCGTGAATCGATTGATGTTATACTACCATCGTGAACCTGGAAGCACTGGACGACCATTTCGTCCATATATGGGGATCCTCAGCGGAGCACACGAGATGCAAAACCAAAATCTTCTGTTTCATGCGTAAACGCTTAATCTATAAATTACTGAGCCGGCATCCAAAGGTGTTAATGTCTAGCTTCAGTATTGTGTATGTGCACTCCGGTTATTGAGTACTTAAAACGACACTTGTAGATAACGACACGATGCACATAATCAAGCCTATCTAGAAGTCTGTACGCTCTCCAATCATCCGTATATATATATATTGTAGTACCCGACTGCAGCCAGTGTTAGTAGTGCTTTTATTATCCAGTTTGCAATAACTCATAATTTGTCCTAGTTAGGAATTATATATTTGTGGTTTTCATCACGAACTGACATCAGCTATAATGCCAGAAATCTATTTAGCCAAATGGTTGAAAGGCTTTCACGTTAAACTCCGAAATGTGTTATCTTATATCTGATTGATTCGTCCACAAATTATAGTCTCGCTATTTTATTTCTTATAGCCGCTCAAAAATCACGTTTTATGCAAAATCTCTTATGAACCGATCGTACGTTAGCACTAAGCATCGAAGTTGGCGCCGTAACCATGAAATCTCTCAAACGCTTCTGATTGTCTCGTTCATAAATTACAGTCTCGCCCAAACTTCAAGTAGAAATGAACTTTTCACAGTGTTCTCCATATATATATAAATAGAGAGAGAGAAAGGGAAATAGGATGAAAGATTCAAAACCACTCTATCCACCTCACATAACCACACATGTTTTGAATATTCACAATGTTCAATCTATAATTTTATTACAACACAACTGTGTATTCTTTCTTCCTGACTTTCTAATAAACATATGACATTCTTTGCAATACATTACAATATGAATCAATTCCATTGTACAATATGTTATTTTACAATGAGTGACGTAAGAGATTACATTTGTTCAACGTAGTTACAATTAAAGTATGATGTAATACAGAAAAAAAGAAAACAATCTGGTTGTAATGTATACTTTGAGTTGTTTTTTTTTAGAAAACATTCGTTGGATCATTTTAATACTGATTTTGAAAAGTACTACTAACTAAATAATAATAGTAGTAAGAAGAATTAGAATTTACGTATTGATGATCCAATTGATTTTAAATTAGAATATGTGACCGATTATTAAAGCTTTTTATTGATTAATCATCATCATCATCATCGCGAATCGCTTGCATTGATAATGATCATATGGTCTCTATCGACTTATTTTATGACATAATCTCCGGACTTTCAATGAGAAGACTCGATCAGTGGAATCAATGGTCTAATACTTGATTGCTCGCTTTAAGACCTATACATGTTAGGTTCGAACTCTGTTATGAGAGTGAGTGAATAATGCTTTGCAGTTTCAAATCAGAACCTTAAAGACATTCAATGCTCTATCGTTTTTATTGATTGTCTAACTCAATTCAGTCAGTAATGTAACTGAGCCGTGACCTTGAACTCTCTCAAACGCTTCTGATGGGCTCGTCCATAAATTAAAGTCTCGTCAATCACCAGTTAGATATAATTTCTGACCTAGTTCTTATTCATTATAAATCTTCATCTAGTCGTTTATCCTTTCAAGTCTGTATCTTGTCATATCAACTTATGTTCAGTTATAACATTCACAATGTCATAGTTGATGGAAAAGCCCAGCTGTTGTGTTACTCTAATCTAACAACATTAGAATTTACCTCTTACCTTCGACAAGATTATAATTTATGAACGAACCAATCAGATTTAAGATAACAGGTCTTGGATTTTGGCGCAAAATTCATTCATCTATTTGGCCAAATAACATTTTGGCATTATAGTTTATGTTAGTTTGTGATGTAAACTCTAAGTATAACCTTAATCATCAACTATAAATCATAATTGTAATTCCTCACATTGATTTATAACCGTCATTTAGTCCTATTTATTGGGTGGATACTCTTAATATCACTTTAACATCTCTCAAAGTCATTCATAAATGATAGTATAACTATGTAATCATTCAGTTTACTGTCATTATTTATAATAATTCAGCATATATATGGCCTTAGAACAATCATAAGTTCAATTAATAGTAATAATAATAATAATAGAAATTCACCCAGTTACTAATTATGAAATAAACAGAAGTTAGATTGATTGACTGATTGAAGTTAGAAATGTAAACCATTGCATAACAACTCAATTAATCCTATGCTCTTGAATTCATAAATTCATTAGTTGGTTAGAACATAGATATACATTGTTAAAGAGTCACAATTGATTGATCATATGGGGAGGTGATCAATGTCATGCATGTCAGATCCTTCTTAGTACAGATCGAATCCTATCGACTAAGTTGCAATGTGGCCACTAGTGTAGGTGAATCAACATTGTGTGCACTATATTGAGATAAGATTATGGTTGACCAGATCCTTTTGATTTTCTGTGTTTATTTAAGTAAAACCAATCGGTGATGTTTAGCGGCCTAAGCTCCTTTACGAGGAGTAACAGGCGTAAGTGAGTAAGTAAGTAATCGGTGATGTTAGCGTCAAAGAACTTTAATAGGATGATGAATTAAATAGAGTCAATAGAACAAAAAATAATGAAAACCATTATACAGTGAATGTAGACAACTACATCCTGACTCATTAATCAAAATCCGTAACAACGAACCAAATTCTTATTCAATAAAGACTAATAGAACTCAGTAACTATATAAATTATTGATATATAAGTGGCGATACTTGGTAGGAAATCCTGATTAACCTAGATTTAGTTGCGGTTGAATTATGTCATCAAGACGCACCTGAGGTTTTCATGGAAGTGACTCTCCTTGATGGATTCGAACCCGAGGCACACGATCTCATACTCAAAGACATTACCAAGGCGCTACCCAGGCCAGAATTAGCCTCTTATAGAATTCAGATATTTACATCTAGTTGATTTGTCACAAATGGGACAAAACGGTCGTTTTGAATCCCACTACCAACTACAAACCAATATTATTAAAACAATACATTATACATAATGAATAGTTTGTAGTCGTTAAGTTAGATTCATTCATGATGATTTGTGTGAGAGTAATTTAGTTCTATGAGTTCTCTATACAGTGAATATAGACTATATTGATATTGAGATGAACTGTAATCAGGAGTAGCATAGAAACAGAAACTAATCATTCGGAGAGTAAAAGTCTACAGAGATGATAGAAGGAAAGTGGATGATGATGAGAGAAGAAAGGTATGAAGAGCAGAATTACGAGATTAAGATCATG